CCTCCCTGCTCCTCAGACTCGGTCGCCTGCCGACCTTCCTTCCGGTCGCTGGTTTGTTTCTCCGCGGCGGGCTCCAGTACGCCATTCACCCCGTCGGAGATGAAAATGAGTTTTTCATTTCATTTATTGTGTTTCTAAACTCCGGGGTTTCTACGTGGTCCTGTTTTAAATAGCGTGCTTCTGCCGCATTACTGGAGTTCTCCCCTTGGCGAGACTCAGCTGTCATGCTCTCCCCTACTTCTTGGCACGTGGCCCCCCTTGGCACCCTGGAGCACCCGCAGCGGCCGACTCAAACCCTCGGCTCCTGAGCCCGACACCCGGGCCGCCTGGGAACGTGCGTCTGCCGCCCGAGGGTTGGCTGGTTTTCTTCCCCGTGTCTGAGAGACGCTCTCTCTGCACGTCTCAGCTTTTCGGTTGGACCTGGACGTCACAGATAACACGTCACGGCAGGACCGGCCCTTCTCCCGGGTCTGTTGTTCCCTCGGAGCCCGTTTTCCCCGTGTGGCTGCTCACGGGACGAGGACTCTTCTGAACTCGTTGTGCGGCACCGTGCTCTCCGTCCCCCTTCTGAATGATTCTTGGGTTTGGTTTAGCTCTGGCTCCCCTGGGGTCACCCTCGGGTGAGTGTGGCTTAACAGTCAGCCGGCCATCGGTGGGAAGTGTCTTCAAGCGCCTTGAGCCGTCAGGGCACTCGTCCAGGGGCTGTGATCTGCGTGTGGCCGGGAACCCTGCCAGCCTTGGCCTTCACCCGTGTGAGTGCGGGGTCTCGGGGTCAGCCCGAGGTGAAGGACGGCAGCCTCTCTTCCCCCAGGTCTCTCCTGAGTGCGCGCACCGTGGGCGGGTGTGCAGCCTCCTGGGTCCCTGGGAACATGCCCGGGTTTTCCAGACTCCCCTGTGGTCACTTGCTCGTCTGGTCCCTGCTTGCCCCGCCGGGGGACGGGGGTGGGGGCGGCTCCCACGAGCGGACTCCAGCTCCTGCTGCTTCTGACGGTGCCCCAGGAAGGCGGCTCTCCCGGGAGCTTCAGGACCGGTCACAGCACCGGCCGCGCTGTGGGCGGGGTCTTCAGTGGAGCCCCAGGAGGCCCGTCACCGCCCCGTCTGTGACGCTGTGTGCTCTCCACGCCACACTCCGCGGAGCTGGGGCGGGGGCAGCGGTGTCCCGGGCTGAAACTCCGCGGGCCCCCTCCCCCCCTCCAGGGTCCCGACTTTCGGTGAATGAACTCTTTTCATTTGGCGTGCCTCCTCGGTCAAGCCCCCAGTCCTGGGACCACTGACTTGGGGGTCTCGTCTGCAGTTTTATTGTTTCTGGTGGTGGGGGGGATTCACCGAGGCCCTCTCGCCAGCCAGCGCCGAGCGCATCTCAGCTGACGAGCAGAAACTCTCCGGTGAAGAAAGACGAACGCCACACTCCTCCTCCGCCCGAAAGGGCAGCTCACACGTGAAAACCTCTGGGCGGGAGTCTCAGCTGACCGCGTCTCTGGCGGGGAGATACTCGACGACCCAGCGGAGCCGCGGCGGAGCGGAGGCCGTGGGAGTCGGAGCCGGCCGGTCGCGGCCGTGTTCCCGGGTCTGTCACCCGTCACCTGGGATGCCACAGAGCAACTCTGGTGACAGTTCCGTCCAAACCTCGGCTCCTTCCTCCGTCGGGGCCGGGGGGTGGGGCGGGGGGCCGCGTCGCATCGGCCGCCGTGACCCAGAGGCCGCTCCGAGGTCGGACACTCAAGCGGAGGGAACTCTCGTGCAAGTCCCTCTGGGAAGCCCCGGAGGCCGCGCACCAGCGCTGACCGCGTCCTCACGGCGCCCCAGCCTGGGAGTGGCTGACTCTCTCCCTCCGCCGCGGTGAGGAGACGATGGGCACAACCGCCGACGTCCGTGTCCTTCCCTGCCGCGCTCGACGGACGCCTGTGAGCCAGGGGACACGTCTGCTCGGGGTCCACGCGAGAGAACTCACGCTGCGTCCCGAGGGCCGCTCGGAGGCGGCTGTCTGGCCGGCCCCCCGCCCACAGCTCCGGGGCGCAGGGCCCTGGCCGCTCGCGGGAAAACACAGCCGTCCAACAGACGCAGTCGGAGCCCGCGCCGCCCTGGTCACTGCCCACCCCGCCGGGACTCGAGCCGCGAGCCGACGGCCCGTCGACAGCTGGCTCCGTGGCTGCGGCCGCCGCGCCTTCACGCGTCCTGCGCTGTGGCTTCGCGCTCCGGTGGCGTGACGTGTGCCGCTCGCCGGCCCTCGGTTACCGAAGTGTCTGTGGGGAGCGCCTGCCCGCCCGCCAGAACGCCGTGCACCGGAGAGCGAGCCCGCAGGGCCCTGGGCACGGCCGCACGCTGATGTGGAATGAGGACCAGCCCCCCCCACCCCGCCCCCCGAGGGCTCCTGGGGCGGCGCCCACCTTGGTGCGGGAGGAGGGGAGGGTCTGCATGCAGGCGGCCTTCCACTCGCCGCCCGGAGCGTGCGGCCTCCGAGCCGGGCGCTGCGCCAGCTGAGTCAGACTTTCCGTGAGGGGAGCCTCCTGTCGTCCCCCGAGCAGCCGGAGCTGGGGAAGGAGGGTGGGGGGCTCGCGGCCCAGGCGCGGGGCCCACCTGCGTGTTGTTTTAATGACATCGAGCCTCTGGAACCCCTGGGGCTCCCGGAGGAGTGAAAGGGCCGATTGTGGGCGGCGGCGGCCGGGCCGCGAGGTGACAACAGGGGCTCGGGCGGCAGACACGCCAGCACCTCGGGAGCCGTGGCTCCGCTCGCGAAGCCGGAGGGTGGGGGGGGGGCTCTGTCTCGGCCAAGCACGGTCCCCTCTCAGAGGTTCCAAAGGCACTCCACGCGGCCGACACGCGAGGACACGCCTCCAGCACGTGCACACACGAGGGACCCCTGACCAGTGGCATGCATGCGTGTGCACGGGGCCCGAGGGCCCTCGCTCCGCAGGAGGGAGGCGGCGGCGGCCCCGTGCCCGGCTCTGCACAGCGGCGACCCACGCAAACCTCCAGCGCCGCAGCTCCGATGACACGTCAGAAAAACCTGTGTCTCGTGTAGCACCACGTCTGTGAAACTCATCTTTCAAAAAATGACCTCTCGTGGACCCCGCACTGAGGAAGTCTGAACCGAGAGCCCAACCCTCACGAATGCTGTCGACCCGCAGAACACATTCGAGTTGAAGTTCACCGACGGGCTGAGCAGCTTCCGGAGAAAACCTGCCTCCACCCAGAACCAGCCGGAGAATCCACAGTGTCCCCGTGGGAGGGGCTGGTGTTCAAACACCTCAGGGACTCTGAACCTTCGCAGGGGGCCGGCGAAGCACCCAGTTACAGCCTCGACTCCCCGGGCAACCCTCACGGACGCCGCCGAGCCCCCCGCCCCACTGCTGTCCCTCTCCCGGACCGCCCACGGCACGGAACCACAGTGCAAGCCACAGCGCAACTCTGAGGTCCTTCCTCGTCCTCAGAGTTCGCGGGGGAGGGGCGGTCGGCCCCAGGTTCTGAGAAGTTGAGCTCGGCCCCAAGATCTGGCATCAAGGCCCCTGCGTGAGCCCCGACTTCCCGGCAGGCGGCTGCCCGGCTGCAAGCAGCATTCGATCTGCTTTCCCGGTGGGGACGGCGCCCGGGCCAGAAGCGGTGTGGCTCCCGCTGCCGGGACAGGGCGGCGTCAGCAGGCCTGCGTGCGGGGCCTGCTCCGGCCTGGCGCCCCACCGGGGGCAGCCCCGCGGGTGTGCGGCTGGGTCCCAGGGACACGGCTGTGCGCCTGCAGCTCCCCCAGGTCCGGGGAAGGGCTGCCCAGCGGGGACGGGGCCGAGGCCGGTCAGCGTCTGCACCCAGCACCAGCTCTGCAGGGCTGGGCGGGTTTGCTGTCCACGGGGGCGGGTCAGCGTCTCCCTGAGGGACCAAGGCCGGCGTGTCACGTGCCACGTGCATGTGCGAGGGCGTGAAAACATATTTGGAGACACGCGTTGCTGCTGTCCTGGGCGACCTCCGGCTCGGTCCCAATACCGACCCCAAAGGAACACCTGTGGGCACACGTGGGCTGCTTTGTGGGTCATGGGCGGGGACCACACAGGGACCCTGGGCAGGGGGGAGGGCCCCCCACGCGGCCCCGGACGGAGGCGGCAGAGCTCTGTGCCCCAGCTGCCCGGGCGCCCGGGGCCGCGTGTGGGGCCTGCAGGCGGGAGGGCGGCCGAGGCCACCGGGCGCGGAGTGTGCGTGGCCGGGCCGAGGGGGGGGGGGGGTCTGAGGACAGTGAGTGAAGAGACCACGTGAGGTGCTGAGCGGGGGACCCGGGTCCCAGGGCGCGAGAGCGGAGTGTCTGGGGGAACAGGGGCCAGACCACCTGCCAGAAGCTGCCTGCCGCCACGCAGGTGAGAGGCGGGGGGGGGGGGCCCGGACACGGGTGCAGGTGTGTCAGCGGCGTTCGGAGGTGGGGCCTCCGGGGCTGGAGCCCGGCGTCTGCCGGGGAGAGTGACGGGGGCGGGGGGGCGGCCACGGCTGCTCTCGTCCTTCCCGTGGCCACGGGCCTGGCGCCGCCTCCCCAGCCACCCTGGGCGGCGCCGCAGTGACGGCCGCGTGCCGGCGGGGCGCAGGGCAGCCCTGTCCCCTCCCCAAGCCCCTGGCAAGACCCTCACGGTACTCGGCCCCCCTTCCGCGGCTGCCTAGGCTCAGAGGCCACCTCTGCGGCCGCGCGGCCACTCAGACGCCGTTCGCCAGAGCAGCCCTGCGGAGGCCCGGCCGCCCGGCCCCCGGGCCGGCGGTCTCACCCCCAGGGGACTCCGCTCGCCCCGGTCCGCGCTCGGCACGGCTCTGGCCGCACGTTGGCCGCCTGAGGGTTCGGCTGCAGCCACCAGGACGGTGTTCCCTGTGGGTCAACGGCCACAGGCACCGGCCGCACGGGTGGCCCAGGTGACGGAGCAGCGCCATGGGTCCGGCCGCGGACACTGCCCGCCGCGCGAGTCCGCACGCCCCTTCTGCGAGCACTCGCCCCGCGCCAGGCCCGGCGCCAGGCGCCTGCGGCCGCGGGCACTTACCGTCGTCCAGGTACAGCTGGTCCAGCTCCTGAGGCTCTCGCTTGACCGACACGGGAGTGGGGGCCAGACCCTGATTACTGTCCTCACGCACCTCGGGCAGCGGCAGAGGCCCGGCGGCGGCGGCGGTGGACTCCGTCTCCGGAACCTTCGGCAGGTGGAGCTGCTGCTGGTGGCCCGTCCCCGGTGGGTGGGCTGGGCTGCGGGGCTGCAGACAGGGCGGCTCTTGGGCGCCGGGCGGCGGTGCGGACGCGGGGCTGTGGGGACAGAGTGCCGGCCGGCCACCCGGGGGACGGCTGCTGCTCAGCTGTGGACTCACCTGTGGCTGTGGCAGGGCGGGGGGCGGCTGCTGGGGGGAGCCGGGGTGTGCGCCCACGGGCCTCGGCGCCTCCGGGCCGGCGAGGAGCCCTCCGGCCGGCCGCTGAAGTCCGAGGGGGCCGTGGCCCGGGCTGGCCACGCCCGTGCCGTAGGCGGCGGAGGACAGGTCCTGCAGCGTCGGGCTGGCGCTAGGCTGCGGCGGCGGCACCAGGGCGCTTCTCTGGGGGCAGGGCGGGAAGCCGGCGCCAAGGCAGGACCCCGGGTCGGGGGGCAGGGCCAGCGGCCGGCTGAAGGCGCTGAAGGTGGGCTTCGGCGGCGGGCTCCGCGGGCTCAGGCCCTGGCCCAGGGGTCCGCAGGCCAGGGCCGGCTCGTAGTCGTCGGTGGGCTCTGTCTTCACGACCGGGGCTGCGAGGGGGGGGAGGAGTCAGGTCAGCACGCCGCTGAGGGGTGCGCTGCGGGCAGGACACCCCCCCTCGCGAAAACAGGCAGCGTCCTGACCGGGTCCCCCCTCCCCGCCCCCCGGCTCCCCCACCCAATTAAAGAGGGGCGTGAGTCACCGGCCCCGCGGGCCGCAGCTGCTCCCAACGCCGCCGCGAGCGCTGTTTTCCTTGGAGCCTCCCGCGGCTCCGACGTGCCGTAAAAGTCCAGCTGCAAGCGGCAGTGGAAGCCCCGGACCCCAGGGCCCGCGGATTTGCAGCAAAGCGAGAATGTGCACTTGGGCGCGGCGGCCTCTGTGCGCTACCGGCGCCCGTCGGGTACGTGACCGGGCGGCCGGCGAGCTCCGGGACGGGGACGGTGGCGGCGGTGCTCGGGAGGCAGCGAAACCCGGCGGCAGCCGGAGAGGCGCCGTCAGCACGGGAACGGAAATGCCACCTCCCCTTCCCCTCCTCCAGTTTCCGCTCCCGGGGGGTGGCAGGGACCCGCCGCCCGCGCGGGCAGGACAGTCCTGAGTCCGCCCCGTCGTCCGCCCTCCCTGGGAAGCAGGCGGAGCCTGGAAGGGGCCGGCGGACGCGGGCAGGCGGCCGGCGGGGGGGGAGGAGCAGGAGGGGAGGGTCCCGCAGCGCCGGGTCCTGCGGCAGCGGGCGTCACCCGTGGGCCGCGTCCACCCGGCTGCGCCTGCACCCCGGGCCCCTCCCACCCTCGCTCGCTCCTCGCTGCTGTTTTCTCGCTGGGGCTCACCATCTCTGCTGCCCACCACGGGGTGACCTCCGTGGCCAGGGCCACCGTTCCGAGCGCGGCCACGGCGGCACACAGACCCCGGACAGAAGCCCTGCCAGTGCCGACGGCTGCGGTGCGACCGTGTGCTGCCATCCAGCCTCCGGGGTCCCGCCCGCCTGCTAGGCGCCGGGGGAGGGGCGCCCCCCCCCCCACGACAGAGGAGCCGTCTGCACTGCCCTGGCCGGGCGGGGGTGGCGGTGCGGGAGCTGCCCAGCGTGTCCGGGGACCGGCCCCTCGCCCCTCGCTGGAAGGCGACACTCGGATCGAACGGGAGGGCAGGTCCCGGCCAGCAACTCCTCAGAAGCTCCAGGGCCTGAGCCCTCGGCTCTCGGGGATTCGCAGCCGCTCGCCCCGGACAGGGTCTCGGTCATCACGCGGCCCCCGGTCGGCGCCTGCAGAGACCCCGGCCTGCCCCTCGCAGCCCCCGGAGCCAGTGCGGCAGAGCAGTGGGGACTCACCGAGCCCAGCCCAGCGGGCCTGGCAGAACACGGCCGTCCTCACGCCACGCCGCCCGAAGGGCCGGCGGGTGGCCGGCAGTTGCGTGGGCTCCGCCGGGTGCACGACCCGCCAGCCGGCCCGCTCTGTGCCAGGGGGGCATCGGGGTCGGGCCCCGGCCGAGGGCCAGGAGTCCCCGTGCACCGTCGTCGGGAGAGGACCGCCGGGGGCTGCAGGCGGGAGGAGGAGAGCGGGCCGTCCTCGGGGCCAACGTCAGTCCTGTGCCCGTCTCCCTGGGGACAGTGCGGCAGGTGCCCGGGCGGCCCGCGGCCGCGCGTCCCGGGGGGAGGGCGTGGCTCCTGAGGGGCACGTGGGAGTCCGGAAGCCTGTGCTGGCCCACTGATGCCGCGGCCCTGACCCCCGTGGCCCAGACCCCCGGGGGCCCCACGTGTGCCCGAGCATGTGTGGAAGGACTCACGGCTTCATCCGGGGGCCCCTCAGAAAGCCCCCCCAGGTCTCCCCCTGAGCTCTCTGACCCCCCCAGCCGGGCCCTCCCCCCCCGCGGGGCCCTCGCGCCCTCGCGGCGCAGCTCCCCGCCACGCGTCCCACATCCACAGACGGCAGCGGAGGCGCTGGCCCGGCTGCCAAGACCGCATGACGTCCTCACAGCTAATGGGAAACAGCTGCAGCCCGCCCGCCCGCCCGCCGGAGCGCCCGGTGCCGGGGGGCCGGGCCGGCTCCCGCAGCTCGAAGGGCTGGGCTGCGGGTCGACAGCCCACAGTGCGCGGCGCGGTGCCCCCGCCAGCCAGCGTCGCCCTCAGGACAGCCCTTGCGGCCGGCAGGTCGTGACCCCCGGAAGGCACGGAGACCCTGTACGGGCGGGGGGGGGGGGGGCAGTCGCTGAAAACGGCCCCAGACACGTGGCCGGGCGGGGCCGGGGTCTCCCGCTGGAGAGGTGCCCCTGCGACACGCGGGCGTCCGGAGCGGCGACGGGTGGACTCCTCGCGAGTTCGGCCGAGTCCCGCACCGACCGGCAGCACCGAGCGTAACGCCCTCGAGGGCCCCCCCACCGAGTCCCCGCCGGCACCAGGGCCACCGAGGCTCCCGGGACGCGTCCCCCGGGCCCCTCGCACCCCCCACCTCCTCTGCTCCCGACGGCGGCGTCACGGGGGCGGCCCCGGCGAGCCGCCCGGCAGCGCCCGCAGTGTGTGTGACTGCTGCAGTGTGACCGCCGCACCGTCGGGCCGGAGCCAGGACTGCCAGGCCCCGGCAGGCGGGCACGATGGGTGGGGCGGGGGAGAGGGGGCTGCTGTCTGCCCGGCGGCCACGGCGTCGTCCGTGGCCTGTCAGAGCCCACGGCACCGGCTCCTTCTGGCAGAGCCTCCACACACGACCTGCAGGCCCCCCCCCCCCACACCGGGCAGAGCGCGTGGGGACCCGACGGGAGGCCGCCCGTCTCCCTCCTGAGCCGCACTCCACGGCCCGCGGGGGGCGCTGAAGCTCGCAGCGTGTCTGACGCCGGCGTCCAGCTGAAGGTGCCCCAGTCTCTGTCCCGGCACCGGCGACGTCAGGGCCCCCCCCACCGAGTCCTGGGGGTGTCCATCCCAACGAGGGGACTCCTGTCTCCAGGAGTTGGGCAGCGGGGTCTTCTCAGCCGCGGCCGCCGCAATGTCAGAACATGGGCCCAACAGAGTTCTGGAACATTCCAGGCCTCGCAGGGCAGGGGTGGGTGGGGGGCATCCTCCAAGGAGGCAGCCCCACCCCAGACAGCCTCTGTGCCCAGAGCAGGGCCCCCCGACTCCCTGGGGTCAGCTCTGTGTGCACGTGGGGGTCTCCAGGCCCGTCCTCAGGGCCCACGGACGGGGCCCGGCCGCCCGGCCGCCCACCCACACCCCGCCCGAGCCTCTCAGTGCTCGCCCTTGGGGCGGAGCAGGCACCTGGGGCCCCGGATGCAGGGCCAGCAGCTGACGGCCACCCTGCCCCTCCCCCCGGGGCTTGGCGCACCTGCCAATGGCCACCACGGGCTGTGTCCATCCAGGAAGTGGACGGGGCAGCCGGGGAGGGGGCTGCATGACAAGGGTGGGCAGGGCCGCTCCCCAGGGCGCGGGGGCCGTGGGGTGAGACCCGTCAGGCGGGGCGGCCTGCCCGTCCGCGGCCTGAGGGCCACCAGGCCGAGCGGGTCTCCTCTCCTTGGCTGCCGACCGACCGTCGAGCACACGGGCTGGCCGCCCTCCTCGGGCCTCGGGGGACACGCCGGCGCCAACACGCCCGTCACCCTGCAGGCCGGGCACAGGGAGCCAGGGCGCTGCCCGCCCCCGGGGCCGCCCTGTCCCCTCACCCAGGGGCAGCCCCCAAACCCCGCCACGGGCCCGGGTTCCGGCCCACCCTCCACGGGGGCAGCCAGGCCCCCCGGGAGGGAGACCTCACTCTGTGCACGTGCTGAGGGGCCGCACAGTGAGAACAGGGCGTCTGCCACCGGAGGGGGTCCCCACCCTGCCGGCCCCGACCTGGGGCTGCGGCGCCCGGAGCGGGGGACAGTGGGCGTGCCGTGTGTCCCTCTGCAGGGACAGCCGCTCTCCTGGTCGGAAGGGGACCCGGGGACGAGGACGGGGCGCAGGCCCCTGCTCCCCGCCCCCGCTCACTGCACGTGCACGTTTCCGAGTGGCCGCGACTGTTTCGGTGTGAATCACTTTACCAGGTCCCCTCGGCAGCCCCGGACAAAAGGGGTTTTGTTCTAAACGCCGGGAAACAAAGAGCAGACTGTCTCCTGTTTGCAGCAAATGCGCGAGCCTGGGTTTTACCAGCAGCACAAACACCGGGGCGAGGACTTCGGGGCAGGACTTGTCTGAGATAAGGGGACGGAACAGGCGGCAGGGACCCTGGGGCTCTGGGGCGGGGGGGACCCTGGGCGGGCGGGGTGCGCCCTCGGGGGCCAGGCTCCCGCGTGGCCGCCAGCGCCTCCCGGCGGGGCGCCAGCTGCCTGGCCGCAGGTGCGCACCGGCCGGGCTTCTGCAGGTCCAGGGACGTGGGGCCCTGCCTGTCGCCCAATTAGTCGGAGGGAGACCAGGGCCCAAACAGAGCACACGGGCCAAAACACACACCGGTCGGGTTTCGCCCAGCGAGCGCTGTGCCGCGTGGGAAGGAGCATGACTCACGCCTCCAAGCAGCTGCGCGCCCAGGGCTGCGGCTCTGGTCCAGGGCCCAGGAGACGCGCGGGGCCCCGGCGCCGGTGGGGCAACGCTCCCTGCAGCCGTGACAGTGATGTGCCCCCCCCCCCCCGGTGCAGGTGTCATGGGACGGGCTCCCAGGGGACGGGCCGCCCCGCCAGGACACGCTGAGCTGGGTCAGGGCCTGTCCATGCCAGCCTGGGGCCTCCCTCCGACGCCCTCTGTCTGGGGCAGCCCTCCCGTCTCTAAACCAGACCCCGCCCCCCACCGAAGGCCCCTCGGAGCTGCCGCAGCCTGGGTTCTGCGACAGAGCCCTGGGCTCGGAGCCCCAGGCCCCCACGCGGCCCCCCCCACCCCGGGCTCTGGGCACAGGCCTCCGACCCACTCCCTGGACGGGCCCGAGCGTCCCTTCCCTGTGCTCTGCGGCGCGGCCAGGGGGCTCGGGGGCGTGCGGGGGCAGCAGGCCAACCCTCCGGCCAGGGCAGCGCCTCGGGTACGTGTCCCAGTTCCCCTTGATTTAACACGAGGGGGCTCCCCCAGCCCCGCCTCGGACCCCGCGACAGAGGGTCCGACCGGCGCTGCCCAGGCGAGGGGAGGAACCCCGAGTGGAGACCCAGGCTTCCTGCCCTGGTCCCCGCCACGCCCTGGCCCGCACAGGGACTGACACCCCTCCCGGGACATCGCCGGGTGCCCGGGCACCTCTGTTCCGTGAGGGTTAAAGTGTGGGAAGAGATCAAACCACGGGTGCCCCGATTTACGGCCGGGATGACAGGGGAGCCAGTACGGCCGGGAGTTTAGCAAGAACAGCCCCTCGGTCCTGGGGGGCTTGAACGAGAAGACACAGCAAAGACGGAGCACACTCCGCCCGGTGCCGGCCCCACCCCCAACCCCAGCTCGCTCCTCGGGAAGAAGGTTCTGGAATGTCTACGGGACCAGCCACGCCACTGACCCCAGCAGCCTGCCAGCTGAGCGCCCCAGGGCCCCCGGGTGGCATCTCCTCCTTGCCCGTCCCCTCCGGCCGCCCCATCCCCCGGCCCCCTCGGCTCCGGAAGGCCGGCCCGGGACGGGCAGTGTGCGGCGGAAACACCGGCACCCTCGGCTTTATCCCGAAGCCGGTGAGGGTTCTGCGACGGGGGGGCCTGCCGCTCCCGTCCGACAGAGCGGAGGTCAGCCCCGGCAGGAGGGGCACGGGCGGCCTTCCCGACGGCTGCTCAGGGCTCCGCGGGTCCGGGGGGGAAGGCCTCAGGGCCAGACCCCGAGTGCCCCACGGCGGCGGCCGAAGCTCCCGGAGGCCCATTTCTTCGTCTGGAAACCGAGGGCGTTGATGGCGCGGGGCCCAGGCGGCCTCTGGACGAGGGGCCTCAGGCAGGACGTGGCGGGGGGGGACCAGCCGCGAGTCTCACAGAAGCCGGCGGCCTCCCAACTCACTGACGGGCTGTGTTCTGCGTCCATCACGGCGGCTACTTCGGGGTTAAACGTTGACGCAACGAACAGGGAGAACGAGCCACGACTCTCGGGGGGAGGGCAGACCGGGAGCAGCCAGACCCGCGTGAGGTGGGGGCCTCTGGGCGGGCGGGAGGGAGGCTGCGTGTCCACCCGCACCCGCATCGGCCCGAGAGTCCGTGGGGGCGCAGCGGGGTCCTGCTGTCGGCAGCCACGGTGCCGGGACCCTCAGACCTGCCAGCCCGAGTGAGCGTCCGCAGCCTTTTCCAGAACGGCCCCCACGCTCCTCTGTCCCACCCGGACCGCTGCCCCAGGGACGGCCCAGCGGGCAGTGCGACTCCCTTCTCGGTCCTCCGCGCCCCGGCAGCGTCTCCCCGTTACACACTCAGCGCCCCCCACCCCACCCCCAGGGACAAGGGGGCTGCCGTCCGGGCCCCACGCCGAGCAGCAGCCGAAGGAAGACCCGACCGGCAGGCAGGCCGCGGCCCCTGCTCTCCGCCCCTGGCTTCCCTCCACTCCGACCACTGACGTGAACGCAGGCCCCTGGGGGTGGGGCTGGGCCTGGGGGTGGGGGCCGAGGCGGGCGTCACCTGGGGGCTGCGGCCTGTAGGTTTGCCCACGGTCACCCGCAGGTGACGCTGGAGCTGAGGCCGGAGGCGAGGAAGGTGTGGGCCCTGCCCGGCCCTTTGCTGACGGACAGACACCTGCACCCTGGGCTCCCAGCCCCCGAAACACCCACCCAGTGGCCGGCCGCGGGGAGCCCTCCCCCCTCTGCGAGCATGTCTGTGTGAGAGCTGGGCCCTTCACGCGGTCCCCCTCCCGGAGGCCGGAGCCGCGGAGCCGCGCCATCTCCTTCACCCCAACTGCGAAGGGACCCCAGAGTGAGGCGAGCCCTCGCCAGTTTGCCCACGGAAATGAACTTCACAGGCAGGGTTCAATGGGTTTATTTCCACCGTCGTGTACATTTCAACAGCACGTTTTAAAAAGAGCCTGCCCCTCTGTACAAGCATAGCACCCCCACCCCCAGGCAGGTTTCTGCCCCCAGCACTGGGCCACGGCCACGCGCCCCCAGACCGGGAGGGGGTGGTGCCCCGTCACAGCTGAGGTCCGAGAGGGAAGGGAATGGACCAGAGGACCTTGAAGCCGGGGGTGGGGGGGGCCTTTCCCGGTGACGTCACAGCCGACACCGACCGCGGAGCCTGTCCACAGGCCGCGGCACTCGGGGGGCTGGGGAGGGGCGATCGGTCTCGGGGTCGGGGTGCGGGCCTGATGCAGCTGGGTGGGGGCGCTCTAAGTTAGGGGACGCTCAGGACGCGAGGCTCAGGGGGCTGGCACCCACCCCAGAGCCCAGGCAGCCACCGCGCGTGGCGAGGAGAACGGCAACGGGAACTGCTGCTCCAGCTCCGGTTCATCAGTCGTCCGTTCATCTCTCTTGAAAACCCCGCGAGGACGGCCCCCCAGCTCAGACGCGGGCGGAGGCCCCTGCTCTCGGGGAGCGCACAGGCTGGGGGCGTGCGGAGCGGTGACAGCCCCGCGGAGCTCGGGCCCTCGCCCCTGGCCGGGAAGGCCGGGCACCTCGGGGTCCGTGCGGCCGGGGCCCACCTCAGGGCGCGCGGTGGAGGGAGGCGGAGGAGGCGGGGCTTGTGCCGCCGGAAGGCTCGGGGAGCCCAGGCCACGGGGAGCCCGGCGGGTCACTCGGGCCGGCCCTGGGGTGACACTGGGGCGCCAGCCAGCAGGAGGGGCCGGGTGGGGTGACTCCCCAGCACGGAGATGAGGTGCCGGCGGACTGGGGCCCTCGTGGGTGCCGGGCAGAGGCAGCTCGGACCTCGGGTCCCCCCACCGTCACAGGCTGCGCCGTCCCACAGCCCCGCCCCCGACACGGGCGTGTGAGTGGCACTGGGTGCTGGCGAGCTCGGAGCAGGGCCCGCGGAGGTCCTTTCTGCACGGCTTTACAAAGAAACTGTTCTTTACAAGGCTTAGGTTTTCTGTAAAACATCCGATACTCGGTCAACCATGCTTAAAGTTTAATTAGGAGACAATCATTACATTTTCACAAAAAAGACTGAATGCTTCCTTTTCCAGAGCTGTTGCCCCTCAGCCCAGAACGGACAGGACTTGCGGCGTCCGTGCGGCAGAGACCCCCGAAGCCGTGGAGCACGGGACAGACACGCCTCCCGGGCCCTGCTCCCGCGAGCTCCCGGCGGGCACGCCCGCGAGGCGGCGATTCTGCTGCAGAACCGTCTCTTCCGCGCCTCCCGGGGTGCGGCCCGGGTCTGCCCCGGAGATGGCCCGTCCTGTTCGACAGCGACACCAACACCGACATTCCAGAGCTCCCCGAGGTCCAGGCTACTTCGAGCGACGGTTTACACCCAGAGCAAACGGGAACGTTCCGTAGTTGGCGTTTCACGGCATCGCCCGGCGGCAGCAGCCGCCTTTGCGCTTCGCTCTGGGGCGTAAGTCCCCTCTTCGCTCCGGGCTCGCGGAACAGAGGCCGGAGCGTGAAGACGCTGTTTTTGAGTGGAGCTTCCACGAAACTCGGTCAAACCCGGGACGGGCGGGCAGCTGTCCGCCGTGAACACGCCCCGGCCGCCAGGGACGGACGGACGGACGGACAGGCCGCCGTGGCCGCAGCTCGGCACACCCCCTCCCTTTCCACTAGTGCCGGGGCGGGGGGTGGGGAGGGTGGGCGGGAGCATAAACAATGTTTCCTTGAGAAAACAGCCTGAGGAGCTGACACGTCAGCTGATTTGTGTGAGTGCGCAGGAGGAGGGCGCGGGGCCCGGAGGCCTGAGGGCCCCAGGGCCACGCCCCACCCGAGCAGGGGTGTCCCGCAGGGTCTAGCGGGAGCTCGGAAAGCCATCAATGCGGGTTAACGACCCCACCGGGCAGCAGCCTTCAGGCTGAACAGCAAGGGCTCATTTCTAAAGGGACCTGCAGAGTAATTACAGCCATTTGCTCCTCGACTTAAACACCCATAGAATTTACACGCGCGCGGCACACTCAGCCCGGAGGACAGGGCGGACCCCTCCTCCCCCGGCTGCGACACATTTGCAAGCAGCCGGCGAAACCTTCCGTCGTCGCGCAGCACGCCGCCCCACCCCCTCCAGGAATAAAGGAAAATACTCCGGAAGGGTCGCCGTTTTTTTCCTTTTTAAGGAACCGAGGACAAGTCTTGCTAACAGGAAGGGGGCACAGCCCAGAGGCGCGAGGCGGCCGCGGGGGTTCCCGGTGGCGGCGGCGGCCGAGTCCCGTCCGCGTCTCTCAGAACAGGCAGCCCCCCCCCTCGCCGGCAGCGTGCAAGGTCAGAAAGAGAGCGTTACCGTTGGCGGGCAGGTAGGTGAAGGGCTGGTACTGGCTGCGCTTCCTCTTCCCGTTGCACACGTAGAAGCTGACCTGGACGGGGCTGGCCACCCTCTGGTTGCGGAACGGCGGGATCTCAACCACCAGCGAGTGCTGCAGCGGGAAGGCAGACGGGGGGGGGGCGTCGGTCAGCGCTCCGCGGGCAGAGAGGTGCGCACCGCAGCGTGTCCGTCTGTGGGGGGACGGCGCCCCACGGCCGGCCTGTGACCGGGCACATGCGTGTGGCCTGCAGGTCACACGGGGGCATACGGGGAAGCTGGCAGGGGGTTCCAGGGGCGTGTGAGGGGAGCAGGCTGGGGCTTCGCCTGAGAAGCCACTGACTCGGCGCAGAGAGAAGCCGGCGCTGACGCCGAGAGCGGACTAGCTGCGCGGCAGCCGGCCCCCAGTGCTTCCGTCCGCCCTCCGGCCACGGACCTGGGGCCTTCGAAAACAACCTCCCACCCACCCCAGGCGCTGACATGTCCCTGGAGCCAGGAGCACCTGCCCAGGTGACCGGCGATGCAGACCCAGGGCAGGTGCTTCCTGGAGACAGGTCTCCGGGGACAGGGTGTGTGACGACGGTGACCTGGAGCCTGTCATGGGCGCCCAGACACCCGCCCCTGCGGAAGATGGACAGCAGGGCGCTTGGCAGCGTTGGGAGGTGCAGCCTGAGACGGAATGAGGTGTTTTGGGGGCTGCTGCCACCTTTCTGTGTTTTAAAATAAAAATCAGCCACAGCTTCACAACATCCTGCTCTTTCAAGGGCAGACACGATACAGCAGGTCGCAGGGGCCGTGTGGTGTGGTGGGGGAGGGAGGGGGCAGGGGCCCTGCACCCACATCCCCAGACAGTGAGCCGCCCCAGGGGGCCCCAGTAGGCCGACGCTGAGGGGGGAGGGGGGAGCTGCTCTGGATTTCAGGGCGTGGGGGGACATTTCACACCCAAAAAGTTCCTTCTGTTTCTGTCCTCTATTTCAGTTAACGAGCAGGGAAAATGTGTAAGAAAAATCCATCGTATCACTTTTTCTGCTCAAGTAATTGTAGCTTGTTCCCCAGATTAATAGCAAAATTGATTGGGTCGTGCTAACAACGGAACCTCGAGAACCCTGCACGGGAAAACGAGACCAGTCCAGGCCGAGCCTCCTCCTGCCGCAGGCGGAGGGACTGCGGCCCAGAGGCCTGCGCGAAGGGCACACCCGGGACCACGCCGGCTCTGGGCTACGTGCTCGAGTCCCGTTAAATACTCCCGTCGCTGAGAAGGAGCAAAAAAAAGCACCCGTCTCCCGCCCGAGCCTGCCGCCCCTTCACCAAAAACAGCCCCGAGCCAGAGGGGCCGGGCAGGCAGTGTCGGCCGAGAGCTGGGCCCTTGACCGAGTGAGTCCTCGCGGGCACCTGCAGCCCGACCCCGACCCATCGGAGTCCAGGCCTCCCACCGGTCCCAGCGAGTCGAGATCGGGACAGAGACGCCCCTCGGGGCCTGTCCCCCGAGGGCTCACGGGTGCGGAAGGAGGCCGGGCTGCCCGTCGCAGGGCCTCTGCAGAGGGCGGCAGGGGAAGTCGGGGTGGGGGTGGGGGGGGCGGCTCTCCGCAGGCTGAGAGCAGAAGGGAAGGAGAGAAGCGGGAGGGGCGTGGGGGCCCTTGGAGCCATTCGACGCCCCGGGCCCATTTCCGAAAAGCACCGGGGCCCAGACCCACGGCGGAGGCCGGCGAGGCCGTGACAGAACCGGGTGGGACCCGTGGCCCTCCGGGCGCGTGCGGCACGCGGCTCGCTGGACGAGCAGCCGTCGTCTGAACGGCCCCTGAGAGCGGAGGAACCGCAGACAGCCCCGCCGTCTGAAAACACACACACACGGCAACGCGTGCGTGCGTGGGAGCGTGCAGACGTGCGTGCGTGCACACCCACACCGATGACCGCAGGGAGCGAGGCATTCGTCTCCCAGTCAGAGGTCTAAGTCTCGAAGGCAGCCCTCGTTTAGGAGACGGGGGTGAGGTCGTGGAAAACACTGTTACTTCCCAAGCCCCCGCGCACTGCTACACGCCCGCAGCAGCGGCGACTGACTACTCAGCGTGGGAGAGAAACCTCCGCGACAGAACTCCGGATCCTGCCATCTGGGCGGGGCTTACTTCGCTAGGAGACGAGCTGCGGGTCTCCGCTGGGGTGGGCAGGCCGGCCGGCTGGGGGCCGAGGGGGCTGGGGCGCGGCGGGGGCGCTGGGAGCTGGAGCAGGCGCAGCGAGGGGGCGGGGCGTCGGGAGGAGGGGGCGGGGCACGCTGGGTCAGGGTGGCCTCTGCAGCCGCCAGGCGTCTGTTCATGACACGCCCACCCGCGCGGCCTCTGCAGCTGGTGGTCCTGCTGGGCTAGGCGGCCCCGGTCTGGGAGCGGAGCTGCCTGGGGCTCTTAGCCGGTCCTCAGGCTCCTTGGCCAGCACGGGAAGGAGGGAGCTGCCAGAGCCCGGCCAGCACGTGCGAGTCCCCGACTCAGCACTCCGACACTCTCCGCCCTGGGGCTGGGCGGGCCCACTCCCTCCCACAGCCCTCGGGAGGCTCCGCTTCGTGGGTGGGGCGTGCAAGAGGCAGCTGAGTCACAGGGGAAGATGCTTCGTGCCGGCAAAGCCACAGCGGCAGCCGCCAGTGTGGCACCGCCTCCGTGACTGCTGTGAGACCCCCTCGTCGTGACACGGGGACCCCCACCACGGGGCGGCCAGCGGCCACCCAGAGCGCTTCAGCCGAGCCCACCGTCCAGGTCTGCTGCTCACAGGGCGGCACGGAGCGGGACCCACGGGGAGCCCCCCAAATTAAGTCCAGTCCAAGCTCGGTTCCGGACCGAGTGGTCCCGGAAAAACATCTCGGGTGTCGGACGAAACTCCGAGTCTCGATTCTCTCCCCGAAAACCCTGCGTGAGTCACGCCTCCCTTGGGAGACAGACACAGCAGATTCGGTTTTCGAACAAACTGCTTCTCCAACAGTTTCCGGGACGGGCCACGTTCGAGGGCCGAGTGCCAGCGTGCCTGCGCCGAGCAGTGCCCCCCGCGTCCCGCACGGTCCCTTCGGGGGAGGGCGTCCTGCTGCCCCCCACCCCGGGGAGCACGCTAAGGCGTCGGAGGAACGTGGGCGTCCTCCTCCAGCCCCTGGCGGCCGCTGCGTGCGTCCCGGAGGCCGAGGCTCCGGCCGCTGCCCCGGGACCGCGAGGAAGACACGCCCTCACCGCAGCCGCTGGCCGCCACTTCGAGCGCCGGCCGCCGGGGGACACAGACCGAGCTCCCTGGGCGGCGGGAGCTCTCCTGAAACCTGCGGACTCGCAGACCGCCAGCGCAGGGACCGAGGAAAAAGACAGCCCAGGCTGAGGCCGAGTGAGAGCTCCGAGGTTTAAGACGAGAAACCCTCTCCACGAATAACCAACCGGTCAGAGAAGCAGCCACTATTTCTTAGGCACCAAAAAGGCCTGAGTGTGGCCTCCTGCGGCCTGAGGCCCAGGTGGGCGTCTCCGCCCCCTGCCCCCCGGCAGGTGTCCCCCGGACCCCGGCCCGCCGGCTACCCGGCACACGGGAGGGACACCCGGCAGCCATTTCACGCTGAGGACAAGCCGCTGCCAAGCGGTGGGTGTTCTCGGGAGGACGGGCGAGACGTCTGTGCCAGGGCGCAGGTGAACCGCGCCACCCGCGTGCCCGGGCAGGCACGGCGCCCACTCGCCGCTCGGAGCGGCGGCCTCCCTGGGGGGCAGCGGGCCGTAGGGGGGGCCCCCGGGGGCGATGACGGCAGAGGGCCAGGGGCACGTGTGCGCCCCTGTCCTGCCCGCGGGGCCGGGAGCTGCCGCACGCGTGTGGGGAGGAGGTCAAAGCCCCGCAGAGCCCGGTCCCCCGCGGCCGGCCTGGGCCGCCTCCGCTCAGGGCCTCCGGAGCACGGGGTGGGCGCCACCGCCCCTCCCCCCTGCGCGTGCTCGCCCTCCCTGCTCTCCCTTCCTGCTCTCCCATTGGTCCCTCCGCAACGACGCCTCCGCGGGAGCCCGCTCCGGCGAGGCGAGCCCGGGACGCGCCCGGCGCCCACGTGAGCGCGTCGGCGCGGCACTCACCGGCTTGCACAGGTCCCGGTCGGTCTTCGCCTCCATCTCCCAGATGTGGTGGCCGTCTAGGAGAGAGGGGTGCGGGAGGTGCGTTAGTCACCCTGGGGTGGGGCCCGAAGGAGCGCGTCCCCCACCACTCAGGCTCTGGGTGGGGGGCCCAGCCCTGCCTGGCTCTGCCGCCTGGCGGCGACCCAGCAACAGCAGGGGTTCCGGCCCCTGCGCCCCGGAGAGCAGACGCCAGGCCCGGAGGGGAGGAGGTGGGGGCTCACGCCCAAACTTGGGCGCAGCGACCCCGGCGGACCCTGAAGACCTGGGTCTGCGGGACGCAGCCTGGTGGCCAGGGGCCCCCCAGAAACCACCCCCTGCCCAGAGTCGCCCCCCGAATCAGCCCGGGGAGGGCTTCCACACACCATCTACAGGGAGCGCGAGCCCCGGAGGACCGCAGGAGGTTCCTCGGACCCGGAGCCAGGCTGCGTGCCGGCTGTCTACCGCCAGCTCCGGCTCTGGGGTGCAGCGCAGCCTCGAGTCTGCTGAGCCCTCTCACCTCTGGGGGGTGGGGTTACCCCAGCGAGCAAGACCCCCGGAGCCAGAGTCCAAGGGGCAGGCGTGCAAGTCCTGCCTTTGCCACGTCAGGACACAGAAATGCAAAACCCTCAGCATGTTTGACCTTACCCAGTGGGCGCGGTCACGTGTTTATAGAAAATAAGGGGTCTTCTCCCAAAGGGGCGGTAGACAGGCTGTGTGCCTGGGCCGGGCCCCCAGGGAGGCAGGGCAAGCGCCCCCCCTCACCCCTCACCCCCCGCCGCGGGACCCTGGGCAGCCCCTGTGGGCAGGCGGTGCAGCGACTCTGAGCTGCAGACGCCCCCAGAGGCCCCGCCCCCTTTGCCGCCGCTCAAGCCGCCTCTTCCACGAGCATCAGTTTCCACTTATGGTTTGTTTTCAAGGAAGAAACGTGTGTTTCAGGTCCTGACGTAGGAGCACATCAGACAGACTCTCCGTTTCCTCCCTCCCCGAGGCTGCGGGGCAGGGTGGAGGGGGAGACGCAGAGGAAGTATGAGTCACGGGGACACTGGGCGGCCCCAGCCCCTGGGGGCACCGGCCCGGTGCCTGCGACCCACTGGTGGACAGGACGGGGCCCAGGGGTCAGCGCGCACGTCGCCTCCAGGAAGGGGTGGCCGCCCCGGTGCAGCCTCTGCGCACGCGGGTCCCTCGGGTGACAGTGTCGCGCCAGCACAGCGGGACACGCAGAGACGTCCCAGCCCCGCTCCTGGGGCCCCCAATGTGCACACGCCTTTCCCCGGCCGGGCCCCCGTGCCCGCCCGCCCGCCCAGGGCTCTGGGCCGCTCTCCACCTCCCCGCCAGTGGCTGATCCACAGCCCCAGGGGTTCAGGATGAGGTGGGGCTGATCCTGAACGAGCCGCTGCCTTTCAAACACGGTGTCTGTTTACACAGGCCATTGTTCGGGGAAGGCAGGACCCAGCCGGCTGCAGATGGCTAATTGCGAGCTCTTAGGAAACGAGCCACAGGGCCGGGCTCCGCTTCCACGCCCAGCCCCGCCGCCCTCTCGGCGGAGCCCGGCCAGGCCTGGGTGTGCGCACGGCGGCGGCTCCGCTGGGAAGGGAAGCCGGCCTGAATGGGCCTTTGTGTCCCGCCTTATCAGGGGCTGCGGGAGGAAGCTGCGCACAAGCCCAGAAGTAAAAATATTCCCAGTCATTAGGGAATTCCCTGCAGCGTGAGTCATCGGAAAGGCTTCCCCGCCACACCCGCCAGGAGGCTCCCAGGGCGGCCTGTGGGCTGGAGCAGCCTCCTCCCGGCCGGCGGGCGGGCTGTCCCGCACCTCGGGCTGCCCGGCCGAGCGGGGCCCCCAGCCTCCTCCCCGGGACGTCCTGGGACCCCGGCCCGGCCTTCTCCTGGGGCCACGAGACTGGCGTTCGGCCGAGCCGGGAAGATGCCGTGAGTCTGGCGAGGACTGGAGAGCTGTGAGCATCACGCAGCCAGTGGCAGAGCCAGCATGGAGACGACCCAGCGCCCGGGGCAGAGAGAGTCCTGGGTTTAGCTAACGTGACACCTGTTCCCAGGGACCCAGGCCACTCAGGCCCTCGGCCACGGGCACGCCACCTCCTCCTGGTGGCCCGCCGGACTTGTTCTCGGGGCCTGTGAGGCAACACGTGTGGCCTGCACTTGGGGCACTCGGCGAGCACAGCCCGTGTGGCTGAGTGGGCCCCACGCTGTCGTCGGGCAGCTGGCTGCCGGGGAAGGCAGCCGTGTGGCGTGCACACAGGCGGTCACCTTGCTATACAGAGCGAGGCCGGAAGCTCATGCCCGGCCTGACGGGCTGCAGGCCCAGGACCGTGCCCGGGAAGGAACGCGTTTGTCCACGTGGAAACGTGGGCCCCGGTGTGCACAGTGGCACCGAGCAGGACCAACAGCGGACGCCACCCCAACACCCACCCACTGACTTTGGACATGCGGCGCCGTACCGTGGGGCGCTGCCCCCCCCACGCAGGGCACAGTTCTCACATGGGTCCCACCCACAGGGCTGCCCCCCCCCCCCCGCCGCTGGGGGCAGCGAGCATGGTCTGGAACCCGTACCAGGCTGGCAGAGCCCCGGGTGACCCACACACGGAGTGCAGACGGGGGAGCAGGGGGGACCCAGGGCCAGCGTGTCTCAGAGCCGCGGTGAAAAGTACGTCCTCCCGCAGGACGGGGGGGGGGCGGGGGGCGTGGAAACCCCCGGAGACGAGAGGTGCTGAAGGCCAGGCGCCCAACCGGGCCTCCCACCGGGAGCCAGGGGCCCACTGACCCTCCCCACCCCAGAGGGGCCAGGACCCACTTTCTGGAGTTTCCTTGGGGCAGAACCCAGAGGAAGAGCCCTGTGGTTTGGGGCAAATCAGAAGGAATGTCGGACAGGCTGTGCCCCAGGGAGAGGGCTCGGTGACAGTCCACCCCAGGAAGTGGCCGGGCCTCTGGTCTGGCTCTCGTAACCCCAGTGGGTGCCCGGGGAAAGGCCCTCCTGCCAGACCCGGGCCAGCGGCACCAACCACCGGTGTCCTGCCCTCCTGTCCCCATGCCCCGGGGGAGGGCCTGGAGGGCACAGGGGCCTGGCGGAGCCCACCTGCCAGACCAGCAGCGGCACCACCCACGCCCCTCCCAGACCCGACCTTGGAGGCCAGCCTGGGACCCCACAGGACAGCCCTGGGGGAGGGAGGCCCCCTCGGTGGGGCTGAAGCCACACCCCTCCTGCTGGGTGAAGACCCTCCCCGGGGCCTCCACAACCCTGAGCGCCACTGGGCCAGGGAGCAGGGGTCTGGGACCCACAGGCACGGCTCCCCGCCTGCCACGACCCCCAGGCCGGGCCCCCACGGCTCCCCCTCCGAGAGAGACCGCTGGGAGGTGGCGCCTTGGAGCTGTCGGGCTGTCTCTCACTTGGAACCGCGGACGAGCCCCGCGGGGGATGCGGCCTGGCTCCCTGCGCCCCTCTCTCCTGGAGGCGAGCGAGACTCCAGAACAGCCCCAGGTAGGTTTCGGCCGCCCGCGCCCTCGCCCCGGGAGCCCACCCCAGGCCGCAGGAGCGGTCCCAGCAGGCAGCGCCCGCCGGGCTGAGGGGGGCAGGCCCGGTGCCGCAGCGGTCGGGGTCACGGACACCGCCTGCCCCTCTCCCGGGTCAGCGCCAGGAGAGTCTGGGAGGAGAGGGCCCCTCCCGCACCCAAGCCGGGACTTCTGGCCAGGGAGCTGTGGCTCCGGCCTGGCAGTTTCCCCGAGTCCTTCAGGGGCTGCACGGCTGGGACACACACCGGGCCTCTGCCCAGCCCCCACCCGGGACAGGCCCAGGAGGGGCAGGTCCAGGAGGGGCAGGCCCCGGCCGGGCTGCGTCATCGCCGCCCGAGTGCCAGCTGGATGACCCGGGCGGGCGAAACACGACCCGAGTGGGCCGGGGCCCAGCCGGGAGCAGGCTGGGTGGTGGTGGGGGGGGAGCGCAGCGCACCCAGGCCGCCAGGGGTCACTGCCCGCACAGCGCGGCCGGGGCGCAGGGCCGCAGCCCGGGGGGAAGCGGCGAGGTGGGAGGTCCTCACACGCACACACACACACACACCCTGACGCACAGCTGCGCACACCCACACACGCACCCTCACGCGCCCGGTGCACACGGCTCCCCCCAAACTGGCCCTGCAGGTCCAGGCGTCCCCGACGACGAGGCCCCGCCCCCCCCCACGTGTCCCTGTGGCCAGGACGCCGCCCGCACGCCTGGGCCGCGCCAGATCACACCTGACAGGACGGCACCTCCGCGCGCCGCCCTCGGCTGGGCCTGGGCTACGTCTGCAGGAGGCCAGGCCGCTGCGGACGCACCCTCTCTGCCGCATGCGGCTGTTCCGCACACCGCACACCCTCCCCATGCACTCGCTCCCACGGTGACGCCCGTGCTTCTTCCACGTGGGGGCACCTGCTGCGCCGCTGGGGACACGCCGCGGCCTCCGAGGCCGGTGCCCAGCTCCCCCACACGCAGACGCAGCGGCGGCGGCGTGACGATGAGGCCGGGCCCGAGGGGGTGGGCAGGGGCTCTCCGTGCGGCTGGGGGCCAGCGAGGGCGGCGGCAGCTCCAGGGCGGGCCCTCCACCCCCTTCCTGGCACTTCTCTCGAGGTCCCCGCAGCCCCTCGCCGACCCGGGGGTCCGAGCGGCATCCGCCAGGGGGCCCCTGGGGTCCTCCATCAGGGTCCTCGCTGTCACCGCGCCGGGCACTCCTTCCTGGGAGCGACACTGGCCGCGGCGAGTCCCCCGGGCGGAGGGAACCGTCCCTCCCCCCCAGTGCAGGGGCGGAGCCGGGGGGCTGTCTGCTGCTCGGGTCCCTGCAGGTGCCCGGCGGCCCTGCCGGGGTCGGGGGGACGCCAGTGGGAGCCACTCGGCGAGGCTCCCATGCCAGTGCCAGCAGCGTGGGCCGCCAGCACCGACCGCGCACGCGGCCGGCCGCCCCAGCAGCGGTTTCCAGACCTCGTCACAACGGGCCGTGCGGCCTCGCTGGGCGCCGGGAGGCACACCCTGTTTTCACCTGCGGGACTCAGCAGTCCCCCCAGAAACCCGGCCGGGCGCCCCGTCCGGAGCTGGGAAAGAGACGCAGACTCTGGGCCCGCCTGCACACACAGGGCAGACACGGGACGTGCACAGACGTGCGAGGGCGCACGGGCCGCCGGCGTGTCGGAGGCGTGACCGCCACGTCTGCTCCCCCACGACCCAGGTGCAGAGTGTTTAAGTCACGTCTGCTGGCGCCCACTTGTTTGCTTTCGCCTTTGCATGGGCGCCCAGCTGCTGCAGGAGATGGGGGGGGGTGTGAGGACGCCCCCCACCCCCACGCCGGCGGTGCAGAGCCTGGCTCTCATCCAGGGCAGTCCCCGGGGCCCACAGGTGAGGACGGCTGGACAGACCTGAGCCGAACTCCCTGCACGGAGGGCAGGTGGCCCCTCCAAGGGGCGCCAGCGAGCCCACCCCACAGCCGCACGGAGCAGGAGTGCTCGGGGTTCCCGTGGCCAGCACAGACCCTCTGGGGGGGGCCTGGGCCCCCACCCCGAGGCGGCAAGGCGACCTCCGGCAGGCCACGGCGAGGAAGCCGCCCGCCCCCCCCCCCCGCCCCTCCGTGAGGCGCTTCCGTGTGTGGTCTCGCCGCCCCGGGCAGCCCTGAGCTCCGCCTCGGCCGCACACGCCTGCACATCTGCAGCGCGAAAGGTTAAGTCCTTTCAAAATTAGTGTCCCCCACAGAAGGGTGTTCCGGAAACTCTAATTCCCGTCCTGGCCACCCCACCTCTGTGACTGAAGGCGCGTTCCCCGATTACGTGCGTGGTGATTGCACAGGCCGACCCCGGTGCCCGGGAGGGACTCTCCGGCCCACTCTGCCTGGAGCACTCAGTCCCCCGCGGTCGGCACGCAATCAAGGCCCATTGTGGAGGCTGAATACCCTCGCCGTTCCCGGCCATTAGCCCGAGTCCTGCCCCGGCGGCGCTCAGGAGAATGCCAGGCGGGGCGCGGGACAAAGGAGAACCGGGCCACCCACCGGCGGGGAGGGGGCCTGCAGGCCCCGCCTCAGGCGCAGGCGGCTCCGGGCACCGGGGCCTGGGCTCTCCGGTCACTGGCGGGGGCCACAGCCCTGCCCCGCCCGCCCGGCTCCCCACGTTCCAGGGTCAGACCAGACTGTCTTCGCCAAGTTCCCTCCGCGGCCTCGCCCACGGCCCCCTCTTCCAGCACCGCACACAGGCCGACACTGGCTGGCACAGACGGGTTGGCACGGGCTCAGGCGCAGAAAGGCGGGGGCCCTGGGGGCCACTGGCCACAACCAGAGAGGTGCCCTGTGTGGGCACTGCCCCAACGGTGGGGGGGGGGGGCGGGGAATGCCTGTGGACCTGAGCGCAGGTCCCATCGCAGGACCCGGCGGCCACTCCGCTCCTGGACCCCCGTCTCCTGGGGTCTGACTCGGAGAAAGAGCCGGTGTGTGCCGGAGGTGCCCTGCCCGGCCGGGGCACGGGCCGCTCGGCGCCCCAGGGCACGGCCAGAGCTGTGAGGCGGCCCCTGGCCGCAGCCCCTCTGACAGCAGCAGCGTTTGAGGATGCACCCGGCCACTCCCGAGATCAGCCCCGCGTGGGCACAGCACGTGGCCCCAGGCACGTGGCCCCAGGCGCGCGGCCCACCCGAGCCCGGCACACAGACCGCCCGCCTTGGCCCCCAGGACCCTCCCCGCAGCGCCCCAGACGGGAGACGCCGAGGCGGCAGTCTCCGGGGCAGTACCTGGCGCCTTCTCCACGAAGATGACCTTGGAGTCCTGCAGGAAGTTGTGGCCGGACAGCACCATCCTCTTCCCGCCCAGCACGGGGCAGCTGGCCACGCTCTGCTTCTCCACCAGGGGCAGCTCCTGGGCCGACCGCTGGGCTGCGGGGACAGGCCGGCCAGTGAGGCAGAGCTGCCGGCCCCCGGCCCCGAGCCGCGCCCCCCCCAGACGGCCAGCCCCCCGGGGACCAGCGTGCAGGGCGTGACCCCCGACGGGACGGCGAGCTGTCGCACCTGCCGTTGCAGGGAGTGGCCACCCTGTCCGAGGGGCAGAAGCCGCACCCCAGGGTCCTCACAGAGTCCCGAGGGTCCCCCCCACCCCTGCTCCGCGGCGCCCACTGAGGAGACCGCGCCGCAGAAAGGATGCAGGGTGCGGGGTGACGCGGGGCCGGGAGCAGGGACCGCGTGGCCAGGCCAGCGTCACCAAGAAAGGGGGGGGGGGCGCCGCCCCGGAATCGGCGCGTCACAGCAAAAGACACAAACTCCTGCTGGGACAGGTGGCAGGTGAGCCCCGAGGACAGGTGAGACTCCGCACCTGGGGTGGGCGGGGCCACTCAGGGGGCGGGAGCAGGAGGGGCTGTGGGGTAAGGAAGGACAGGTTCTGACAGCAGCTGGGCCTGCAGAGCTTCCTGGGGGAGAACCCCAACAGACCCCGTGTGGGGTCCTGCCCTTGGCCGGGGCGGAGGCTGTGGGGTGCAGGGCGCCCCCTCCGCCAACAGCAACTAGCAAATTCATTGTAAGGGAGAGGACCCCACCCCACGGGAGACCTGGCCCGCCAGGAATGTCGGGGCGCACTGGGCTTGCAGGCGACACCCCCCCATCGTCCCCAAACGGGGAGGGGACTGGTGCAGGCGCCACCCCTGCCGACGCCTGGGCTTCTCGGGCAGCTTTCTTCCACTTGTACCCCCCCCTCCACCCCATCCCCCGGTCAGTGCCGGGCGGGACCCAGGGCCCCGCGGAGGCCGCCGCGCCCGCCCCGCCGCCCCCACGGGCACTCACAGCACTCGATGGGGTTGGAGGCCACCTGCAGCGACAGCGTGCGGCCGCCGGGCTGCGGGATGTGCACCCGGAAGACCAGCCTCACACGCGTGTTCTTGCGGCCGATGTCCGTCTCCCCCTTGCGCAGCTCGATGTCCGAGTTCCGGAGCTTCAGGATGCCGGCGCAGTCGATGCTGCGGGACAGAGCGGGGGGTGGGGGGGGCGCTCGTCTGCCGTGCCGGCCCCCTCAGCCCCGTGCTGACAGCCCACCCCCGCGCCTCGGCCACCCCCCAGGCCCTCCCCCGCCCCTCAGCTCGCCATCTGGAACGTCCTGCAGCTCCCTACACTTTTGTGTAGCTGCCCTGAACCCTAGACTCACGCAGCGCAGGCCAAGGACAGCCCTCCCGCCGGGGGGAAGCCCATACTCTTCCCCTCTGGAAGGCCTGCGGTCGGACGTGGGGCGGCCGGCGCTCCCAGCCAACGCAGGCAACGCCGCCGAGCCCGGCCCTGCAACCCCGGCCGGACGGTCCCCGGGGGGCGGACGGCAGCTCCAAGCAAACCCAAGGACTGAGCGTGAGCTCGGAGGTGCGTGAATTCCCCCAAACTGGGGAAGGCCCACGCGGAGAGAGAGCTCTCTCTCCTCCTTCCACGTGCAGGTCTGAGGTTACCCAAGTCCCACCCCGAGTCCTACGGACTGCGGCCCGGCCGGCCCTACTCCCACCCAGGACCCCAGGGCCCCGACAGCACCCAGACCCCGTGGGACGGCTGTTCTCGTTCTCCGTGGCGCCCACAGCTCGGGTGCGACCCCCACAGCGTGCGCCAGTCAAGGTCACGGGCTCAGCACACCGTGTGAACGGCCCGCGCACCACGAACTCAGCTCCAAGCGAGGGAGCCGGAGCCGACGGCAGGGCCAGGGCTCAGAGAGACGGGACCCGACGCCGTGTCCTCGCCACCTGCCCACCGTCTGCGCAGACACTGTCCCTCTGAGGCGCTGTCCCGTCTGGGGGCCGGGGGCGAGCGCCGCACGGTGGGGGAGGGCCCCGTGGGGGCAGCACGCACGGGGCCCGGAGCCCGGGAGAAGGCACGGGCCCCGAGCCGTGGGGGCGGCTTACATGGCGCGCATGTTGTTCTCCGGCAGCAGCGGGATCTCCAGGACCTTGGTGTTGGACAGGACGGCCTCGTGGCTGGTGGTGGACACCGTCTTGCCCGTGATGCGGTGCACCTGGTAGAAGGCATGCGGCCGCAGCAGCCGGTCGTCCGCGGTGCCGATGAACAGCTGCAGCGTGAGGGGCTCGCTCTCCAGGTAGCCGTGGAGCTGGGGGGAGGGGAGCCGCTCAGCGCCCGCCGCCCGGGGTCCCCTCGACGTGCGAGAGCTCGGGAGGAAAACCCGGGGCCGCCTCCCCCGCTCCGGCCCCCACTTCTCGGCGCCAACGACACCAGGAGCCTGGAGAGGCCTCCGGACCCCGGCACCCCGGGCACTCGGCGCCTGTGTTCCAGCACACGCATGCACACGCGCGCCCCCTTGCGCAAGTGCACACGCCCGCGCACACGCACGTGGGGCCACAACCACAGCCTGGGTCCCCCCTCCCGCGCCCTGGCTGGGGGCTGGGCGAACTCGCCGGGAAACCAGGCCCCACGCTGGACCGGGCCTGCGCTCTGCGACGGGAAACGCGGGAGTCAGACCAGAGACCGATTGAGAGGCAAGCACGGCCGTTCCGTGTGGTGTTTTGGGAAGTTCGGTGCAAGAACATACACCATGAATGACCCTTCGGCCAAAACCTCGTCTCGTGTGGCCCGGATGGGTTCCCGGGGTCGGGAGGCTGGCCCGTGGGCCGCACCGGGGCAGGCGGTTTGGGGGCGACAAGTTAGCCCCCCGGGCCCCTCTGTGCAACGGCCAGATGGTGTGTGGGAAGCACCAGACGGTGGGCACCGCTCCAGCCTTTCACAGACACGCCACCTCGGTGGCAGTCGGGACGCGTGAGGTTCGGCCCGGGAGGTAAACATCCATTATTTAAAGCGTGGAGTTCCTTCTAAGGAAAGTGATTTAAATGCTCTGCGCCGTGCTGCGCGGCTTTCTGCCTCCGGCACACGGCAGCCTCTGTCAGGATGACATCTACGAAGCCGCCTGTCACGGCGACGGCCGCCCTTCGCCCAGCACCCGGCAGCGTTCCGTCCCCAGGCCGCGCCCCGGAGCGCTCCCCGCGCTCGATGCTTGTTTTCAGCTCCAGTGCTGAGCTCAGCACCTGCGACGCGGGCCCGGCCGCGATCGGGGCCGAGCCAGCCCAGGGCTCAGGCTCCAGCCGAGCTCCCACACACGCTCACATGCACACACGTGTGTGCACGCCCCACATACCCATGCGTGCAGACACACGCCCCAGGAACATATGTGCGTACACATCCATGTGTGACACGGGACAGGGTGGATCCGTGTCCAACCAGCCGTCCTGAGTCGGCGCGAGCACACGTGTACTCACACGTGTGCACACGCACACACACATGTGCGCACACACACACACACACAGCCAGGAAGTCCCTGCACGGTGTTGGCACAGAGAGAGAGTCTGTGTCCGGCCCAGGTGTGAACTCCGCGGCCCCACCTCCTGCCCCGACTGTCCCCGCCCCCGGGGGAGCGCAGGGGGTCTGCGCTGGGTGGGCGCCGGGAGCGGTGGGGGTGGGCCCGAGCGGTCGCCGGCTGCACATCAACGGGCACGGCGGCCGCCTGGGAACCAGGGCGCGCCGGCTCCCGGGGCGAGTGCTGGGGCCGGCGCCGCGTGCTCCCGCGGACCCACTGTGCGGAGCCGTCCCTGAGGCAGCAAAGGTGGAGGCCAGGCGGCGGCCTGGGAGGCTGGGCAGCTGAGCCCGCCCGGGTAACACTAGTCCCTGCCAACTGAAAGTGGTGACAGCCGGACGCCGGAGGCCGGCCTCCGCCGCCTGACAGCGGGCGCGCTGCCTCCTGCCCAGGCCACCCTGTGGCTTCGGCCCCGGCGTCTTGTGTGACGGAGACGTGTCTGTCCTGCTCTGTGGGGACAGAGGCCCCTGCAACCGCGCCGGCCACCAGCCGCCCTTCCTGCCGCCAGGATGGCGCCCTGGGCGGGGGGCGGGGGCCAGGGGCCCGGGTCCAGCAGAGGGTCTCCCCCTGTGGCTGGACGGGGGTCACCGGCCAGAGGGGGGTCACCGCCCAGGACGCAGGCGGACACGCGGCTCGGGAACGGACGCGGCCCGGGCCGTGTGTCGTGTTTCTGGGGCCCTTCAATTATTCACGTGCGGCCTCCCGTGCAGCAGGCGAGATGCTATCGAGAGAGCGACTTCGGTGACGTGGTAAACAGAGCTTAACCCTTTGACCCCTGGGTCGGAGAGCAGCAGCGGCGTCCCCAGGTGTCCCCATGAGGGCAGGGACAGGGGACTCGCCAGAGAGGCTCCCCAGACACCCACCCAGCAGGTGCGCAGGGGAGCGGCGCTCTGGGGACAGAGGCAGCGGAGGGGGGTGACGGAGGTGGGGCCCCAGGGACACAGAGCAGAGGGCGGGTGTGAACACTGGGGACCCGGTGGCCCGTCAGCCCCCTGGTCCCCCGCCCTCCTGTCGGCAGGGGACCTGGGCCCCCAGGGACGCAGTTCTCGGGTTTATTAGTGGGAGTGCTGGGAGAGGTCTGGCGCCCGTGTCTCCCTGGGGAGGAGGTGGGGGTCCTCCACTTCCCTGTCCCAGAGGAGGGGGTGGAAACCGTCCCTCCCCCAGAGCCCCTCCCGGGGCCCGGGCCCAGCCTGCCGTCCCCACTGGGCACCAGAGCCTGGCCAGGTGGCCCTGCTTCTGGGTGGGGGACAGAGGTGACACCTCCAGACATCCCAGAACGCTCCCCCCGCAGGACCAGCGGTGACTCCAAGAGTCTGGGAAGGGTCCTGGATGCTCCCGGACGCCAGCCCCGCTGACCGACACGGGGCCGGAGAAAGGGCCGCGTCCCCCAGCCCCGGCACTTGGGTGTCCCCTCCTGCAGAAGAGGGTGGGCAGGGGGAGGGGCGGGCTCGCTCCGGGAATCGTGGGAGGAAGCCGGAGCCGCTGGGCGTGCCCAGAGGACAGCGTGCGTGTAGCAGCGGAAGCCCCTGGGTCCGTGGGTGCCTCTTCAAGCTCCGCGGGGACGGAGGGCCCGAGCAGAACCGCGGCCGGCCCAGGCACAGCGACGCACCAGAGACCGAGGGACAGGAGGGCCCGGCCAGGGGCCTGGAGCCAGCGGTCACCACGCCACCAGGGCCGCAGAGCGTCCTGTTTCCATCCGTCCCACGGCTGCGAGAATCCTGCGTCCGTCCGACTGCCGTCCACCGGCCAGACGAGGCCACAGCCCCACACCCCGACCTCCCAGGGGCTGGCCTGGGGCCCGCGCAGAGGAGAGCGCACCCGGCCGCAGGGGCGGGGGCCCCGGTGGGCGGCTTCTCCCCGACGACGTGGCTGGCAGACGCCTGATGTCCTCCGTCTGGGGTACGGGGCCGGGGGGTGGGGGGGTTCCTTCTGTTTCAGCGCAAAGCCAGCCCCTCCCACTCCACTGCCGCTCGCAGTGAAGTGACTCCCGAGGGCGGGTGTCCAAGATGCTCCAAACACTGCTTCCAGCCCCGCAGTTCCCCCAAAGGGGTCCGTGCCCCGCGCTGCCCGCCTGGCCTTGGACGGGGCTGTGGCTAAGGCCCAGGAGACCCGAGCCAGCTCCGGGGCGCCGGGTGGTCAGAGCGGCCGAGGCCTGCACCCCGTCTGTCCACCGAGCGGCCTCAGGACAAACAACTCAGGGGCACGGGCCAGAGGGACAGAGGGCTCTCCTGACCCGCCCTGGGTCCTGGCCGGCAGGGCTCGGCAGCTGAGTAGATGTGGGGCAGAGGCGGCCGGGGACCCCGTTCCACAGGGCTCCGCCTGTGGTGGGGGCCAGGGGGGGCCTGCCGTGGCTGGGACTGCACCAGCCCCGCCCCCACACTGGACACCCCGAGGCCCCAGATCCGCAGCACCGACCACCCACAGCCCGGCCCTCAGAGTCGGCTCCTCAGGGGCCCTGACCGCTCAGCAGCTCCACGCTCCGCTCCTCAACCGGCTCTCCCAAGCCAGGCTTCCGGCCAGAGGACTCCGCCCCCCACCCCGTGGGCCGTGGGCTCGCAGGCGCAGGGGCGAGAGGCGGCTGGGCGGGATCTCGGGCCACCGCCCACCAGTCCCGGCGGGGCTGCCGGGGGAGCTCCTGCCCTGGGTCCCACCAGCCTCTTTCTGCAGCTTTGTTCCCGGAAAGGTCCTCAGAGTGAACCGTCTTCGTGTCAAGGTCACATTTAAGTTCTCCCTTCTACGACACGGGGCCCAGGCTACGACGAGACTCAGACGACGCCCCAGCGCACCGGCCGCGACCTGGGTCCTCACGGCGGCCGGCCCGGGCGTCTCCACGGTCCTCGCCTCCCGCTCCCCACATTTTCTGAGTCAGACGCAGCCGCTCGGGAGGACACGGGGCTGGGGACAGCGTCCGCCTGGACAGAGGACGCTCAGCAGCCCGCCCCTCACACGCTGCTAGTCACAGCCGCCCCCCACCCCGCCCCAGGGGAACAGACGCCCGTCAGCTACGGCACCCACTCCGTCCTCCCCGCCGTGGCCAGGCCGCAGGGACGGCCCCCAGGCCCGGTGTCCAGGCACTGCCTGCCCCCCGGAAGCAGCATTTCACGGAGAGAAGTTCCCACTTCGACACAAGCCTCGGGTGCGGCGAGGACAGCCGACCGAGAGCCGCAGACACCCCAGTGCCCAGCGCCCCCACCCCAGTGTCCGGGCGGCGGGGGAGAGAGCTGGGCACACAGAGCGCAAGCTCAGCCGTCGGGAGATGGTGGTGTGTAATCGAAGCAGAAAGGAGGAAGCCGCCCCCCCCACCCCCGGCCCAGCCGTGCCCGCCCGTACCTGCACGCTGGGGTGGCCCCCGGCCGACGCCTTCACGGCGCCCCGGCTGCCCTCGGTCTCGTAGTGGGCTCGGTGGTGGGACTTGGGCTGCACCTCGATGCTCAGCTCGTAGGGCCCCGAGCGCGACGGCAGCTGCCAGTCCAGGGCGGGCAGAGTCGGGCTGCAAGAGACGGCACAGTGTCAGGTGCCCGGGGTCGCGGCGCCTGCCCCTCGCTCCGGGGCGAGGCCCGCCCCCGCCTCTGCCAGCTCAGGGCCCGACTTCCCGTCACCTGGGGCCCCTTCCCGACACAAATCACTGGCGTGGCCACGGCAAGGGGCCACGGCGAGGCCGGTGTCTGCCACGAGCCTCCTGAACAAGATGGAGACACCGCCCATGGCCTGCCCCACCGCGGCGTCCTGCCTTCTTCCCGACAGGCCTGTCCGACCGACCGAACCCCCCGCCTGTCACGGACACGCGCTGGTCCGAGACCCCGCAGCCCAGCCCCAAGTTCCGAGATTCGCTCCGACCGAGGGAGGACCCGCCGCCGCCGCAGGAGGAGGGAGACCACCGCGGAGCCCGCGGGGCTGGTCTGGGAGCCCGTTGCTTAGTGTCGCTCAGCGGTGACTCGGTAGGTTTGGGCCCCGGCCAGCGGGAGCGGACGGTGGGACGCGTGTCCTCAGAGCCCCCGGCCCCGGACAGGACACCGCAGCCCAGTCCCCCTCCCCGGGAGGACACCGAGGCCACGTGGGGCTGGGCCAGTGGGCTCCAGGGTCCTGCCGCGCCTACAAGAGGTGCTTCGGGTCCCGAGCCCGGACAGCCCCGGCCGGCGAGCCCCCCACTGCGCCTGGGCCTGGGCCTGGGCCTGGCCTGGCAACGCCAGGAGGGGGCCACGCCTGCAGTGTGCCTGTAGGTGCAGCCGGCAACCGCAGACGCCAACCGGACCCCCACAGACGGACGGACGGAAGGACGGACATCGTCCTCAGCAGCAGTGCGAGCCTGGGGCCGCGTTCAGGGCGCAGGACAGCTCCCACAGCGGGGGGGGGGCCAGGACAGGCCTCGCCCAGCACCCGCTCTACCCAGCTCCAGACGCACGGTCCCGCCCGCGACCGCCCCGCGAGTGGCCGCCCCCGCGGGGAGCAGTGCGGGGCCCCGTGCGGACGCGGCTGCAGCTGCACTGGAGCTGTCCCGAGTCACGGGCGCAGCCGGCGGCCACGGCACACGGGGGAGTCGCCGAGCTGCACGGACCGAGGTGGCGACGGCGTCCGTGCACCCGCTCGCTCCTCGCATCTGCTCGGCTGGGGGCGTCTCTGCCGGTGCTGGCCTGTCCGCGGGGGCGCATCTCGGCTCAAGGAGCACGTGACCCGGGACGGGGGTTCTTTCGAATGTAAAGACCGAGCTTTGGGCGTCTGGGCACACTGTCTGGCCGGGGGGACAGCACCCACAGCCTCTCCGCGGCCGCCTCGATGGCCGACCAGGACCCCTCGCTGGACTCACCGCGGAGGCCGGTCCCCGAGACCTGCGCGTCCAGGAGAGACCCTGCCGCCTTCTGGTCATTTCCTTGGGCACAGTCACAGCCTCCCCGAGGGGCACGGGCAGCTGGTGCTGGGGACACCCCCTCCCAGGGGACACCTGACACGTGTGAACGCTAAACACGAGTAAATGTGTCCACGGCACCCGCAGGAACACTCCGGAAAACCTCTGGACTCCAGGCGCCCCGACTTCCTGCCCTGCACGGGGGGCCCGGCCCCACCCCGCAGATGGCCCGCCCGGTGGGGTCTCTGGAGAGACCGTCAGAGGCCCTCACGGAGTCCACCGGGGGGATCAGGGGTCCCGCCTCCCTGGCCGGGACGGTTGTGTGTGACGTGACACCAGACGATGTCACGATGTCGAGAACAGGGGACGCGGTCTCGTGAGAGTCACGTGAGGGGCGGGCCTGTGAAGCAGCACCGGCGCCCACACAGGGAGGACCCGTCCGTGGGGACAGTCGTGGGTGCGGGGCCCCCCGCAGAGGCAGCGGCCAGAGGGCCGTCCCTGCGAGCCCCCACGGGCAGCCTGCTCCGGACCAGCGTGGGGGGCGGCTCCCAGGGACTCATTCCCCGACCCCCCCAACTGCTCACGGAGACGTCTCGTTTGTGAAATGAGGGTGACGGCCGCACCCCCCCGCCCGGCTGCTGGGCAACGGGCCAGGTTCTCGGAGAAACCGGGGATGCAGGCGTCCCGGGCACCTGTGTCCCCTCCCCGCACCAGGGGCAGCCCGGTGCCCGCGTCCAGCCCGGGAGTCGGTGGGGTCGGTGTCAGGGCTCTGCAGAGAGCCCCACAGATCTCTCTGCCACGTTCTGTCAACCTGGGATTCTTCTTCCCCACCCCCCCCAAACCCTCACTCGGGGACACGCTTATTGCTTTCAGCGAGAAGGGAAAGAGGGTGAGAGAGAGGGAGGGAAACATCCACGATCGCCTCCTGTGCGCAAACCCACAGCCCAGGCCTGCGCCCTGACCGGGAATTGAACCTACGACCTTCTGGTTTGCAGGCCGCCGCCCAGCCCTCTGAGTCACACCAGCCGGGGTGAAGGTGGAATTCTCGCAAAACAGAAATCGTAAACGCCGTCGTTGGGCCTGGTACGCGAGGACCAGCGCACGCCCCGCTGACACTGTCACTGCCTCCTGGGGAGGCCCGCGCCCTGCGACCCCGCGGCCCCACCGCTCAGGGCTGAGTGCCTGGCGGCCCCCCCCATCCCTCCCGCACCGTCCCGGCGGCCGGAGCCCCGGCACCAGCACCAGCAGCCTGGCTGGGCCGTCCTGTGTGCCGGGGCCCGGGCTGGCCCCGCCCTCCTCGCTGGGGTGGCCGCAGCTGACCACCCGCGCTGGGCATGGGTGAGGCCCCAGGGGGAGGGGAAGAGAGATGTGCCCTCCCCCCATCGAGTCCCCCTGCCCTCAGGGCGGCCGGACCGCCCTTTCCCACGAGCACGGCCCTCTTGAGTTCTCCAGCGAGCGTCTGCGTGTTCCTCTCGTGGAAAACGCGGGAAGGACTTCCTATAACGCCGTTCGCAGCAGCCAGACCACCCACGCACAGTGATTCGATCTCAGAACGGCTGGGGGTCTTCCTCCGTCCGGGTCCGGCCGGCTCCTGCACCTGGGGCCCCACCTCTCCTCCCCCCCACTCCGGCCGGCCCATCCCCCACCGCCGACCACCGGTGTGCGGGCGTCTGTCCGGGAGATGCCTGCCGTCCTGCACCGTGGAGACGTCACCGTGGGCAGAGTTTCTCCGCAGCCCCGGCCACGAGGCTGTGCTCAGAGCACCGGTCAGCCCACGAGACACGCCGCTCTGCCCCTGCCGCACGCCGACCCCCACGTCCCCGCAGCGGCGTCCTCAGCTCCGCCCCTGGCGCCTCCACCCGCCCAGGGGACCTGGGCGCTCCGGCACGCCACTGCCCACAGGGGAAATCCTGGGACCTGCAGGTGTCCCCGGAACTCTGACCCAGGTGCCCTGGGTGACAGCTCCCTGCTGACCGTGATGCTCCCGGCCCACGAGCCATCCCGTGGCACCCCAGGGCGACAGGGGCCCAGGGGCAGAGGGGCCCAGGCCGGACCTTCGACCGAGCGTCTTGATTTAAAACTGAAAACCACCTTCAGGCCATTTCGTCAGTGACCGTGCAGACACCACCGGCCCTGCCTCTCGGGGACACTCACCACGACAGGAAGCCCAGACAGGAAGCCACAGCCCCAGCGACCCCCCGATCAGCACCGGTCTGGGGAGGGCTCGGGGCGTGGGGGGAGGCGAGCGGGTCGCGGGGGCGGCCCTCAGGGTCCGGGGGTCGCGCCAGGCCTCCTCGGGGACGACCGTGCGGGTCAGCGGCTGAGAGGCAGCGAGCCCCAGCACGAGACCGCGGGCTGGCCCGGCGACCGGAGCGGTCACTTTAAATCGTCAGCGTCCGATGGGACAGCGAGGGGCCCCCAGTTCCAAAAACGAGCCTCGTCGTCGAAGACCCACTGCGTGTTCAGGGCAAAGGCGGCACGGCGTCCGCACCACACCACACGCGGGCCGGGGCCGGGGTGGGGGGCACCAGCCGCCCCCAGTGCGGGGCCCGTGGCCACATGCGTGTCCCACAGCAGGAACGGCCCCACGTGTGCGAGGAAGACTCGCAGCCGGTTCTGTTCACGCGTGTTTCTGGAAGCCCCACAGTGGAGCACACCCCCCACACAACCACTGGCGGCGAACTTTCCGAGGCGGCCCCTGGCAGGGTGACCGTCGGGTCCGGGGTCACCCTACCCGGCTCCGAGACAGGCAGCGCCCGCAGGTCCCAGCGCCCTTCCGCGGCCCCCGTCCCTGCAAAGACCCCATCGACCCGTCACCTGCCACTGATTTTTGCAGGGGCCGTCCTGTGCGGCGAGGCCACGGTTCCGACCTCCACGGCGCCGCTCCAGGACCTGAGCACAAAACCACCAGGGTTCCGGGCGTTTCACCCTGACCAGGACGCAGAAGTTCCGGGCCCTCCTCCTCCCACAGCGGACACTCACCCTGGGGACCCGCAGAAGGAGGGACGAGGGCCCGGGTCCGGTGCACCCCTGGGAAGGTGGGCGCCGCAGCAGCCCCGCCCCCGCGGCCCCTCCCAGTCCCAGGTGTGACCGGCCGTCCGGATAAGCCCTCAGGTCAGGGGCCGGGGCGGCAGACACCCGCCAAGGGTCAGCCGTGGAGTCTGTGGAACCAGAGAAACTCCAGGAGCGAGGGTGTTTCGGACAAAGGGCTATGCCCAGCCCCGCCCAGGTGGCCGGCGGGAGCCGCTGCAAGGTGCGAGCAGGCCCAGCTCTGCCGTCTGCGTCATGGAGCACAGGGGCCACCCCGCTCCCGCACCCTGGGCGCCGGCGGCTGCCCCAGCTCCTGCCCACAGACGCGAGTGTGCGCCCCCCCGACAGGCTGTGGCCGAGGTTCATCCCTGGGCCTCAGGGGGGCGCTGCGCTGGGGCCCTGACTGCCCCCGGAGATGCCCCTGCAGACAGAGACCCTACCCGGGGTGCTGGCGGCCGGGGCCCCACGAGGGGCAGCTCTGGGCCGGGCGGTCAGGTCCCGGCGCCGCCGGCATGGGGCTCTGACTCTGGGCTGGCCTGTCCCCGCCAGCCGGGCGGACTGCAGCGTGTGCCCACGGCCCCCCCTGCAGAGGCAGCCGGCTCCCTCCTGCGACCCGCCCGAGGGCTCCTGGTGGTGACATTCGTGAGTGACCCGCCGGCTGGACGGGTGGCCCGCCTGCAGGTTTACGCACCCTCGCTCCAGATCAGGGTGAACCTGAAACGTTCAGACGTGCCACAAGGCCACCGGGACTGGCGGTTCTACGGGTTTTCGGGAGCCGGTGCTTCTGCACGGCCCCAAAGCGGCAGCTGTCACGAAGTCGTCAATGTCGCGTCGGGAAACCCAAAGGAGGCAAAGCCCGACATTCGTGGACTTGGGAATGCAGCCCCCAGGCCGCGGACCCCCGGGCTCCGGGTGGAAGCTGCTCCGCCAGCCCCTCTCGCCCCCGAGAACTCGGCCCCTGCTCCGTCCGCTCCTCACCCAGCGGCCGCTCTCCGGGCGGGCACAGAGGGCACCTCTGAGGGGCCCACACGCCAGCGCCCCCGGAGCCGGGGCGTCCCACCGCACATCCCGGGGTGCCGGCACGGTGACGGACGCTCAGTCCCGTCCGTGCCGCCCGACCGGCCCACAGGTGCGAGAACCTCCCGTCCTTCAGCTTAACGTGGCCCCTGCCGCAGGCGCCGCCGCCACGGCCGTCTGGAAGCGAGTGCGTGTGGGTGCGAGTCGCTGCCGTGGGCGCTGGACGCTCCCGCCGGCCTGGCCCCCGGCGGCCGCCCACCCCCCACGCGGCCCCAGAACTCGCTGGGTCTGCGGTCGCCGCCCGCACCGTCAGCACCGCGGCGAGGGGCTGGCGGCCCGACCCGGACTCGGGGGTTCTGGGTTTTTCACGGGGGGCTTGCACACGAGCCCCCCCCCACCCCGATGGTGTCCAAGCTTCAAGGACAGGAGCCCTGGGGAACCCCGAGGTGAGCGTGGGCTCCGCCAAGACGGTGAAGCGCGGCCAGTCTTCACTGGACGCCCTGCCCCACCGCAGCAGGGTGTCCGGACCGCGGCGGGGGGCGGGGGGCCGAGGGGGAGACCCCAGCGGGGAGGAGACGCCACGGCGTACGCCTCGGACACACTCGTCACCGGGGCTCCTCCTCCTGGGGCACCGGAGTGGCCGGCACAGAGGCCCCGCCGTGGGCAGAGGCCAGGTGGGCGGCGCTGCCCAGGGGGTCCTGCTGACGTCCCCGCGCTGGCCCCTCTCTCAGGAAGGAAACCTGCTCGCCCCCCCTCGAGGGCAAAACAACCTCCCCGCCGGCTCCCCCGCGGCCCCGCTGCCCCCAGGCCGCGGCCGACGGGACCCCGTGGAAGCACGTGGGCAGGAAACACCTTGGGTGTGGGGCCGGCCGGGGGGGAAGGTCAGCCTGGACCCCGCGGAGGGCAGCTGGGCGCTTTCCCGGGGCTTTGTCTGCGTCGGCGCGCAGGAATGCGGGCGTCACGCCGTGCCCGGGCCCTGCTGCCCGGAGATAACAGGCAGGCAGGTGGCCGCGGAGCGACCGCCAATGTCCCCACAGACGGGGGAGCGGCGGGGGGGGGGGCCTGCTTTCCGACCAGGAGTTAGACGCAGGCCTGGTCCTGCGGACGCCCCCCCTACCCCCCGCCAGAAACACCCGGGAGCCTCGAGGGGGGAGGCGGCCCGCCCCCGTCCCCGGGGTGGGGACCCCGGCCTCAATGCGCGGCTCCGTGGGGACTCGCTCAGGCACGGGGGCCCTGACGTGGGGGCCCTGACGCGGGGCGGCCGGGGGCCTTCACGGGGGACGCCTGGCCACAGAGACGGCACGGCAGGACAACCGCGAGGCCTGCGCCCATGGGGGGCGTCTGCTGCAAGTGCCCCCGAGTGGGTCTCCCAAGCTCCCCCAGGGGCGACTGCGCCCCAGGTTCCAGGCCCACCTGGCGACACCTTTGGAAACGCCGGCCTCTGACCTTCCCGGGGCTGAAAGGGTAGAAAGTGGGGACGCACCCTCGCCTGGGTCGAGGAAAACCGGAGGCCAGCCTGGCTCGCTCTCGGCGTCTGAACCGAGCCCCAACGACGGTCGCCAGGGGCGGCTTTCGAGGCGCCGGCGCCTCACACTCGCTCTTCGCCCCGGACCCCGGACGGGCCGCACACTCGCTCTTCGCCCTGGCCCGCGGGGCTCCGCGGGCGGGGCGTCGTCCCGGGAGGCGGAAGGTCACGGGTTCAATTCCCGGTCGGGGCACGTGCCCGGGTTGTGGGTTTGCTCCCCGGGTGGGGCGTGTGCGAGAGAGAACCAGTCGACGTTTCTCTCCCTTTCTTCCTCCCTCCCTGCCCCTCTAACGGAATAAAACCGTTCACAAAGGGAAGAGAAGGGTGCAGAGAGGCAGCTGGGTCCCTGGGTGCTGAGAGCTCAGCTCCTGCCCCTCACCCCGGGCTCCGGCTGTGGGCGACGGCGGTCCCCAGCCGAGCGAGCCAAGGGTCCCGTGTGAGTGACCCTGCTGTCCGCAGACGCCCCTGCGGGGCCCGAGTCTCTCGAACCGCACGCAGGCCGATAGGAGGCGGCCGCAGCCCTGTGCCCGGCGGTGCCCTGCGCGGGGGGCCTGCGTGGACGCCGTCCCGCCCGCCCCTCCGCGGTCCTGCGGTGAAAGCACGCTGCCCAGGTTGGCGGCGGCCCGCCTGTCGTGGAGGGCTGTTCGGTTAAAAATAAAAGCGCCGGGCTGAGACGGCGGCCCCAGCGGGGCCCCGGCGGCCCCACACACCGTTGAAAAGGAAAGTCAACAACCCGAGCGCGGCGCTGGGACCATGCGCGAGCGCCCTGCCACCAGGCCGCGGGGACCGGCCGGCTCCAGGGAGCAGGCGGCTGAGCTGTTCTCCGCACAGCGTGGGCGCCGGGGGAGCGGCCGGGGTCCCCGGGGGGCTGCTGAGCCGAGGCCCCATCTGCAGCCGCGCTGACAGCAATTAGCCAGGGACGGGGGGGGGGGGGAGGCAGCGAAAACAACCGGCACAGGGGCCCTTGGGCCCCACGAAACAGCACAACACAACGCTGAGCGCACGTGTCTGTGGACTCCGTGCCCCCCCCCGCCCCTCCCCTCCAGAGGCGACCTCGGTGCCCGGCGGGCCTGCCCCGAGGCGAGCGAGCGAAGAGGTCGTCTCGGGGTGGGGCGTCCTCAGGAGAAGGGGCGCTGGACCCGGGGAGGCTGAGAGACAGCCACAGGGCGTGGAGGGCAGAGATGGGGGGACAGGGCGACACACGAGGGACCCCCCAAACCCGGCGCGGGAGGGGCCAGTGGAGGCCCCCGCACGCCCCCCCCCCCCGGCCTCGCCTCCCTCCCCCGCACTCACCTGGCGTAGGCCGCGGGGGAGCGGGGCCGGGCCCACGGGTACGGGTGCTGCGGCACGGCCAGGTACTGGTCGCAGAAGGTGCCCTTGCGGGTGTGCTGGAAGGGCGGGAACTCCTCGGGCGGGAAGTCCGACGGGGGCGGCGTGGCGCCCAGGTCCTCGCCGGCCGGCTCCACCTTGAGGGCCAGGGAGGGCACGGGGTCCAGGGTCGTCCTGCGGGCCTTCACGGGCACGCCGTCGCCCAGGTCCAGGCCGCCGTCGGTGCTGAGGGCGTTGATGGCGGCCACGATGGCGGAGCTGGTGTACTGCGTGGCGCTGCCCAGCCAGGTGTCGTCCGTGACGCTGACGCGCGGCGAGCCGTGCGGGGACGGCGCCGGCGAGTGGTGGGGCGAGCAGGACGGCTGCCGCCCGTTGAGGCCGTACTTCCGCTTGTTGCTGGGGGAGGAGGGCCGCGAGCCGCGGGCGCCCAGCCAGCTCTCCTCGGTCACGCTGGCGCGGGGCGAGGCGGACGGCGAGTGCCGGGGGGAGCCCAGCAGGCCGCAGGCACCCAGGCCGCGGGGGAAGCCCTCCTCGGGGTCCGTGGCCCTGGGGGACACGCAGGGCGACTGCCAGGGGGACGTCTGCGGGGAGGCGTAGGGGAAGGAGCAGCTGGACTCGTAGGACGAGGCCTCGGAGTTGCAGCTGCGGGAGGACAGGCTGCTGGCCGGGCTCAGGCACGACGGGTCCCGGTAGGCCTCCAGGCCGGGCAGGCTCAGCGTGGCCGTGGCCGGGGGCCGCTTGGGGCCGGGCAGGACGTCCTCCGCGTCCACGTCCTGGAAGAAGGGGCCGCCGCCGTGGTGCAGCCCCAGGTAGGACGTGATCTCGATGCGCGGGCTCTCCAGGGCCGGGGCGCCGTTGGGCCTGGTGTGGCCGGGAGGCAGGAAGTAGCCCGAGGGCCCACCGTCCAGCAGGGCCCCGAACCCCGCGGGGTGGCCGGCCGCGGCCGGGACGCCCGGGGCTGGCGCCTGCAGGTCATGGCAGGGGCCGGGCAGGGCCGGGTGCGCCGAGGGCAGGGACAGGCCTGGGCTGAGGGTGGAGGTCGTGTAGCTGTAGTGCTCTGGGGGGAGGAAAGGAGACGGGTGTGAGGGGCCGCTCAGCAGCCACGCGAACCCCCGGCCGGGCGAGCCCCGGAACGGGCTGCGACCCCCCAGGGGTCGCCCCACCGCCCCCAGCGCCACCCCCACCAGCGACCAGAGCCACAGCCCACCCTGTCGGGCCCGGAGGCTGCGGGACCCTCCCCCCTCTCTCCCCAGCTTGCGGACTCTCCCGCGCGGGTGCTCGCCGCTGCCCCCCGCCCCCTCAGGTACCGGAGCACGGGGGTCTCCGCCCGCCCCCCTCGGCTGCGGTCCACGGCCCCCAGAGCCGGGCTCCGTGCCGGCCCCGACGGGCGGGCGCCCCCTTGTTTGACAGACGGGTGGGCGGGCGGACGCCGAGGTGGGTTCCTCCCCCGGAAACCGCACGGGTGACCTGGTGACGCAGGGCAGACGCCCCCCACCGCCCCCCCCGGAGCGACGCGGCCGTCTTGGGCACTGCGGCGGGACTGAGGGATCGTTAAACCTTCATTACCACCTCGGTGCGGCCTTTGTTAAAAAATCGTTACTGGTGTAATTAGCCGCCGTGTCAGGAAAGCCGCACCCTGGGTCTGCAGGTTGAAAAGGCTCGTCGTGACCCCTGGTGCGGAGCTGCTGCCTGGCCCGCCGCTATCCAGGTCGCCCCGTAATGGAGACGCGCGGGGAAACCCGACCCGGCCCGTGGCGGCGCCGGCCGGGGAGGGCGCTCGGTGTCAGGCTCAGCCCCGGGGCGTCCGGGGGTGCAGGCCAGGGCATCGGGGCCCCAGAGGGCCGGCCCACACCACGGCCCTTCCTCCCAGAAATGGGTGTGAGGCCCCGGACAGGTGGGACCCATGGCCTCCTCGCTCGCTGCCAGAGGTGCCATCAGCCACTCTCGAGGTCGCCCGGGTCTTTGTCCTCTTTGCCCTGGGGACAACACCGTCCCCTGCTGCCCAGGAGGCAGGCGCGGCCCCGGCCCAGGCCCACGCCCGGGGACAGCCCACAGCCTGCCCCCCGGGCGTCGCTGGCGGCCTCTGCAGAGCTCGCGGAGCCGCTCCAGATGCTCCCCGGCGGTGCCAGCTCCCAGAAAGCCCCCAGGGGACCCGGGGCCGTGACGAGGAAGGGAAAACGACGCTGAGACTGAGTCAGACCCCGGGGCAGCAGGGACGCCTCCCGCTCGGGTGGCCGCCTGCCCGCTGGGCCGCTGCGGCCATGGGACACTGTCCTGCAAACCCCTGGCCCTCGACACCTCTGGGGCCGGTCTCCCGGTCGGCTCCCCAGGAGCCAGAGGGACAGGGGCACAGCCACACGGGGGGGGGGGGGCGCGGCCCCGTCTGCGGGCAGGAGGCGGGGACCAGGGTGAGGCAACGCCTGCTCATGCCGACACTTTCACCTCAAACACCAAAACTGGGTGTTAAAATCTGGCCCCGGCTGGTGTGGCTCAGTGGACTGAACACTGGCCTGCAAACCAAAGGGTCGCCGGTCTGATCCCCAGTCGGGGCGCAGGCCTGGGTTGTGGGCCAGGTCCCCAGTACGGGGCACGGGAGAGGCAACCACACACTGATGTTTCTTTCCCTCCCTTCCCCCCTCTCTAAAAATAAATAAAACCTTTCAGAAAATGAAACAAAACTTGGTTATGGTGCTTGCAAAAGTCAAACAGGAAGTAGTAACCCTGGACGGGCACCTCCCGGCGGTCAGGTGCCCCGGGAGGCGGGGGTGTGAGGGTACTGCTTCCCAGGTGCCCGGCCAGGACCCAGGGTGCCTGCGGGCGGGAGGGTGGGCAGGCCCGCGTGTGAGGGTGCCCGGCGGGCCCAGGGGGACGGGACCCTGGAGGGAGACCCTGCTCAGCCCGGGGGGACGAGGCGCCACCCTGCGTGTCGTCCCCATGGGGGGGTGGGGGGGCTGCAGGCGGCCTCGGGGGACGGCGACCCCTCACAGCCGCGAGCAAGTCCGTGTGCGCGCACCTACATGGGGGCTCAGACGGCCTCTCCGGGGCCCGCCCCACACGCCCCACCTATCCCACCGGCCCTGCCGGCTGAGCGAGGACACCCGAGTGCCCGCGGCCGGCAGGTGTGAGCGCCGACCCCCGGGGCGGGTGGTGATCGGGGTCGCTGTCGGCGGCCTGCCAGGGTGGGAACCCGGGGTCGGGCCTCGCCCCGGACCCGTCCCGATGGGACGTGCGGGTCCCAGCCTCGGGGCGCCCTCACCGGTGTCTCTCCGCCCACCCGGCACTGGTGACGCTGTCCCCGTGACGGCGACAAGGCCCCCGCCCCCGGAGGGAAGTGGCCCTCGGGGGCGGTGCCGTGGGAATGAACGGGCCCCACGCGCACTCCCACCCACGCCGGCCCCTCGGCTTGTCAGCAGCGCGGGAGTCTGGGAAGCCGCAGCGACACGGCGGGGACCTGACAGTTTACAGAAAATGGATTTTCTCGTCAGAGAGAAATCCCGTCTCGGGACGCGGCCCGTGGGGGATGGAAACAGGAAGTGTGGGCGTCACGCAGAGCCGGCCCCCAGCACCGCCGGGTCCCGCCCACGAGGGGGGTCCCCCCAGGTCGGGGGGCCGAGGAGGAGGGCAGACCCCTGCGCTTCCCGCCCGACGCGGAGAACATCGTCATACGTGTCCGTGACTTGTCCTAAGAGACGCGGCCGAGGGCGCGGCTGCACCACTGTCCGTCGGCCGGAAGGCGGTTCCCAGAACCGAGAGACACATTCCAGCCCAGGGGTGTGGGTCGCAGGTCCACCGGGGGGCGCGTCAGCCTCGCAGGAACCTTCAAAGCAACTTCAGGGCCGCGCAAACGTGACTTCTCCGTGACCGTCACGGAGCGGGAAGGAGACTCGGCCGTCGCAGGCGCCCGTTGAGGCTGGCGCGCCCCCGGTGGAGATGCGTCCGCACCCCTGCGCCGGCTGCTAGCAGAGGGAACCCGGGCCCCCCCCGCACAGGACTGCGCCCCTTGGAAGCTTCCGGATGAACGGGCAGGTAGGGGAGGGGGTGACGCATCTCTGTACGGGCGTGGGGTCCACAGACTACGGGAACGTTCCAGGAGGGGCCTCTGTGACCCCGGCGTTTGTAGACGAGGGCGAGAAGCACCGGGAAGCCTTCTTGAGAAACCAGACGCACCTAAGCCCGGCTCTCCTCCGCTGGACGAATTTGGAAGGGAGCACCCCCACCCCCCGCCCCGCAGCCTGAACCGTGTCGTGGAGAAACGCCCCGCAGACCGAGGCCTCTCCTCGCACCGGACGGAAGCCCCGCCCGCTGGGGCCACCCCCCCCACGCCACAGCTCTCGGGGTCACTACCACCCGACGCAGCAGCCGCATCTGAACTCCCTGGCTGTTCCCAGGGATCCCACGGACACGGGGTGAGGGTGCTGTCGGCCACTTTCCTACCGACTGGAGACGGTTGGGCTCCCCCTGTCGCGCCGGGGGCCACTGCAGGCGACACCCACCAGGGCCATTTTCTGCTGCTGCGCTCGGCGCCCGGCGCCCGCCCGGGAGGGGTCATTGAATTACAGGGCAGGCGGGCGCCGGGGCGGCGGGCGCCCGCACAGACGCCGGGGAGAGCTCCTTCAGGACGGCTCCCTGCAGCACAGCGACGGCTGCGGCTCCCGCCCGTGTCCCCCCGGTGCCCGCCGCCCCCACCCCACCAGCCGGTTCTCCGGCGACTGCCCCCCCCCACCGTGCAAGGAGCCCCTGGGCGCAAACGCGGGCGCCGTGTGGGGCGCAAGGGGGCCCGGCCCCAAGCCCCGCGCTCGGCAAGTTCGAGGAGCCAGAAGAGCCTTCACAGCCACTCCGTCTGCCCCGGGAGACCCTTCACTTCAGAGCCCCACGGCCACCGCCTTCGCTCGGGACCAGCCCCCAAACCCGTCCACGTGCTTCCTGGTCAAGTCGGCGGCGCCCGGGTTGTTCCGATGCCGGGGCCCCCAGTCCCATGTCGGGGTCACCCCCCTGCCCCCACAGCAGTGGCGGCCACACGGGCCGGCCTGCCAGCTCGGGGTCCGCACCCTCTGGGGCTGCGTGTCCACCAAGCGGGCGTCCCTGACCGGACCCCCCACCCAGCCGCTCGCTCCCCCGCAAACTCTGGGCCGACGTCTGCTTCCCGTCGGGAGGACTGTCCCTGCCGGCGTTGCCGGGGCCGAGGCGCAGGACACGCAGCTAGAAACAGAACTGCACTGAGTGGCCGCCAGGCCCCAGCCTCCCGGACGCCTGGCCAGACCCTTGTCCACGGGGCGACGGGGCCGGCGACCAGGGCCAGACTCTGACCCCGCATGCAGTGGAAGTGAAACAGAGTGAAACCCAAACGCACTTCGGCCCCAGTCCTGAGCTGGAACCTGTTCACTGCGCTGCCACCGGAGCCGCCCCCTGAGGGCGTGGGGGCTCGGTGGCCACAGGTGGAGGCGCCCCCAGGGGCCTCGCTGGCACGGCAGGAACCTCCGCGAAGGCCGGCAGAGAGGCCGGTGCCGAGGCACACACTCGGGAGAACGTCCCGTGAGCAGGCCCGGGTGGCCCTTCTGAGGGTCCCCCGTCCACCCAGCCAGGCCCGCGCCCCTCAGTCCCCGTTGCTAAGGCGCTGACACCGTGGAGCTGTCCACCCCTCGCTCTGGCCTCCCTGGGACAAACTCGGCCCCAAACTGAAACTCCCTGCGCGCAGGCAGCTGTCCCTGCTGGGGCCGTCCCCGAGGGCGGCGGTGGGGACACTCCCTTAAAGACACAGGTTCTTGCCCTGCCCCGTTGAAGGTCCGGGCCCCAGGCCCCCTGGCCAGCACTCCCCACCTCCCCAGGCTTCCCCAGGCAAGGAGGGGGGGACAGTGATCTCAGGCCAGGATCCCCGCCCGGCGTCTGCTGCACGGCCGGCCTGCCTGTGTGTGGGGGGGCTCAGGGGCTTCTCACGCCCCCCCTCGCCGCCGCTGAGGACGCCCCGGAGAACGACACCGCCTCCAGCAACAAGCCCCTTCCGCAGGGAGCCACGGCAGGCGGCCCTGTGCAGGGAGGGGTGCAGACAGGGCCGCACTG